TTTGAAATTAAAATTGATACAAGTTTGGTAGCCTTCACTGGCTGAAAGAGAGTGGTGGGGGTGGGGCGAGTGTTTAATGTCAAAATACGTGTCTTAATACGAAATTCCAGTTATTGTGTCATACATCACTGGAAAGTAGGTTTCTATGGGTTTTTTTAAATCTACTTGTTATTTTCTGGCACATTGATGATTACATACTTTAGAAGAGATAAAAGCATTTTTATTTTGAGCAAAGAAATGGGTTACTATAAATAGACTACTTTCAATTCATTTTATTTATCGAAGGCTGGGATTAGCCCATACCGAAAACGTGATTTCACTGAAGTCACGGTCATCCAGCGAATTTCGTAGTGAGGGCCAGCTTGATTCGCAGTTAGTGAAGGGTAAGTATTCTTAGTGAAGGATGAGATAGTGAGGGCTGACTTGATCTCGGCCAATCATATACCTGCATGATAATCGAGTCTAAATTATTTTTTAAAACTGTAAATTTTAAAGGCACAATACTGGATCATCAAATCTTTTAAGTCCAAAAAACAACCGGAAACATGTTGCATGTGTAGCAGGGTTTCTATTCAATGATAGGGTGCCCCGTGTAGCGAAATTTTTGGCTACTGAAAATTAAACTCGACACGGCGAATGCGCACGCTTCAGTGGTTTGTTTGGAAGAGATTTCTGGCTAGTCACGCGGTACCAAAACACTCGGCGCACGTGAAATTCTCTACACATCTATCGTCGTAAAAAATCTATTATTGACGATTCTGAATAGCAGTGATATTTAACTGTTTCGTTATTACATGTACAGCAGCTTTAGAAATTACGTTTGTTTTATTTTTTAAATTGTTTTATCATTAACTATACAGTTAGGAGCGGCATCTTTTGGTTTAGTACAAATAATATCTCCGAAACTCTCGGGTTAGGCAAGAACATGATACTAGCAGTAGTTTCATTTTACTTTTACAAGGTTCGTAAAACAATTGTTGAGTTGCCTAACGTGCGTGTGTTAATTAATAGTGGTGAGAAATTGACGGAAAGGTGATTTAATTATCGCTGGGGCAGTAGGGGCGAAAATCTCTGCGACGGTGCGTTTTCTGTACTGGGTGTGTTAATTAACGGACGGGTTAAAAACAACTAATACGGTGTGTATTCTATGTTTGATGAGTTTTCTCGAAAGCGTGTTATAACTGCACCAAAGGTGTTTTATCAAGAACCAGCAGGCTTTATCTGACGTGTAGGTGTTAAATCTAATTTACCGTGCGATTTCTTGTCAGAACGTATGTTTTACGCAGATCGGTCTTTATACATGGATTTATACGTGCTATATAGTTACATACACTGTTAAAAAAGGGTGTAATTAAAAATTATATTAAGTGTAAACTTTACACCACAGCTACCGTTTTTTTAAAATGTAATACCTTTCCAAGGTTAACCAACTAAAAGAACTACACCTAACAAGTGTAACCGATAACCATGACTACTGAACACCCGAATAGGTGTAATTGTGTGGTGTTTTGGATAAGCTACACCACTACCAGTGTTATACTGCATTTACACCAAAGGGCGTAACTATCATTGGAGAATAATTCATAGAACAGCGTTAATTTTACAGCGTTTATTGGGTTGCAAAAGTGTAATCGATATTCATGAGTACTGAACACCAGGATAGGTGTAATTGTAGCCGCTAAAGGGTGTTTCGGAGGAGCTACCCCACTACAAGCGTTTTATTGCATTTACACCAATTGCGTTTAGGGAAACATTCCTCCGAAAAAGGAGTAAATTTTACACCGTATGCAGGATATGAAATAAGCCTCTTATATGGTAACCTCAAAATAGGTTACGCTTATTTGCCTGAAATTTGAAATGGTAACCTATAGGATACGATGCATCAATTTGCTTACATATTTGTTTAGAGCTGAACCTCGAATTAGCCTAGGGGGATTTGGGGGCAAAGAAAATTTTGCATTTTGGCACGCAATATGGTACAATTTGGATGATTTTACACTACTATAGGTAGTCTACACTTTAACTCATTTAACCCTATAGAACCAATTAAAAGATTAGCCAGCTACCCCTGAGCTCATTAAATCATCAGGGCCCATACCCCTAAGCCAATTAGTGGATTATCGTTAGTCCTAATACCCCCTACTTACAAAATTTCGGATTTAAATCAGGACTTGGGACTGTTGATGCAATATTCGTTCTACAAAATGTTATACATAAGTACTTAGCCAAAAATAAACGCCTATATGCTTGTTTCCTAGACTACGCTTCGGCATTCGACCGGATCGTTCCAGTAAGACTCTGGCAAAAACTGATAAAATTGGGTGTTACTGGCAATTTTCTCAAAATCCTGAAATCCATATACTCAAAGTTAATATCTAAAGTAAAGTTTAAAGGTGAAATATCAGAATATTTTAATTGTCATACAGGTTTAATGCAAGGAGAGTCTCTGTCTCCAATTCTTTACTCATTTTATGTAAATGATATTGAAAACGAATTACTGGAAAATGGTTGTCAGTCACTAACATTAAATGATATACATAAACTTGTACTTAATAATGTATACAGGTGATACTGTTCTTTTAAGTGAAACGCCTGAGAATTTACAGAGTATGTTAGATGTGGTAGAATTTTATTGTGAGTCAAATCATCTTAAAGCTAATGAGATGAAGATAAAAATTGTTGTATTTAGGAGGGGGAGGAATTTTAAAACACAGTCATGGACATTTAAAGATTGTAATATTGAAATTGTTAAAAACTTTAATTACCTAGGTGTTAACTTTAATTATAATTGTAAACCAAATCTTACTCAACAAACAATAGCATCTTAGGGTAATAAAGCATGTTTCAGCTTGCACAAAATAATAAAAGAAAACAGTTTCAATATAAAAACAAGCCTTTCATTATTTGATACATATATTGGTTCCATATTAAACTATGGCTGTGAAACATGGGGATACCACCCTGGAGATGATATTGAAAAAGTCCATACTAAATATTGTAAAAGAATACTTGGGGTAAAACTGTCTACAACTAATGTACTCATTTATTATGAACTAGGTAGATTACCTCTATCTTTAATAAGAAAATATAGAATTATTAAATATTGGCTTAAGTTACTGAAAACCAACAACGTTGTTCTCCATTCTTGCTACAAGGATATGCTAGCATTACATACGTTCAATAAGAGTTATAGCCCTTGGATAAATTTTGTTAAGATTTGTTTAGAAACTTATGGCTTTAGTTACATATGGGAAACACAATTTGTATTTGACGATAAGATATTTTTGAGCGAATTTTATCAGAGAATTAAAGATGTTTATATTCTATCTTTGTCAGAATACTTTGAAACGTCGTCAAAATGTCTTCTTTATAGAAGTTTGAATGTAGATTTTAAATTACAGTTTTATTTAAAACATCCTATACATTATAAGAATGATATTTGTTAGACTTTGTACATACTGTAATGATCTAGAAATAGAAGATGAATATCATTTTGTCCTGTCTGTAAATCCCACACAACTTTAAGAGAAAAGTATATAGACACATACTATTGGAAAAAACCACCAATGTTTAAATTTATAGAACTGCTGAATATTGTTAAATAATTTAGGAAAATTCGTACATTATAGAGATGTCCTACATAATTGCACGCCTCCGCCATCACTACTTTAATGTGAACTATTGTTTTGTAAAACCTATATACTATGTATTTGGTAATAAACAATTACAATTAAAAAATTGCAAATAACTAAAAAATATTTTCTATACAAAGAAAAAGATGATAAATGTAGTCTTTAAGAAGTTGTGGACAAGAGCCACGGCAATATACGACCACATTTCGATGTTGGCGTATATAAATATTTGGAGGGCACCAGACCCATTTGGCGCCTATAATGAGGGCAACACTGTTACATTGCAAGCTTCTTTTAACTGCGGAAACTGACTTTGTTTATTTCTTGAAATGCCGTAGTGTGTCTTGTCCGCAGGTTTGTCTGGTCTGTTCTGTTTTGCTGTTCTCCTGCACTTACTATTTGAATAGAGTTTTAGCCCTTCGTACTGCAGAATGTTCTCGATGTTGGGCTTTGTCCCTGTTTGCTAACTACACTTTAACCATCTTTTAACTGTGGAAACTGACTGTTTATTTCTTGCAATAGAGACTTTTGGCAACCGGAATTTTCCCCATTCGTATCACGTATTAGATAGTTTTAGAGTTTTGGCAGATTTTCATAACGCGTACGTATGAGTAGCTGAACTGAGCTTAGTTCTATTACAGATGGCAGTTATTTACCAAGATTACCATCAGTACTAGCCTACAAATTCCTGGAGGGAGTAAAGTTGCTCGACAGTCGCTGAGCCATTAAAAAAAAATAATGTCGAATCTTATTAAGAATCTTCGACCTCGACTCGACAGCCATTTTTGGTTTCACTAGTAATGTATCATTTTAGAAAGTTTACACCCCTTTACCTCCCTAAATTTAGAAAAATAATGAATAAAGTCAAGCTTTTATCATGGTTAAATCACATCAAATATACACCCTTGTGTTCTATGATACACATAGATTCATAAAAACTCCATGGTACAACATTTCAGCGTCTAAAAGTAGCATAAAAGACTGTAGAATGACAATGAAGTTATACGGACCTTTTCCGTATGAAAGCTGTTCGGTACGTACTGCCGTATCCGTGTGCCGTATCACGTATGAGAAATACCCACACATTGATGACGTCACACGCAAAATCGATACGGATACGCGATACGTACCAGGAATTAACGCCTGCCAAAAGTCTCTAATGTCTATGCAGTTTGTCTTGTCCGCAGGTTTGTCTTGTCGGTTTGTTTTTGCATGTAGTGCGGTCTTCCTGCACTTACTTTTGTTTCCATATTTGTTTCCAAACCGTTGTAATTTGCTTTCACGTGAAATGAAATCCTTCAAATACGTACTGGCTGAAATAAGCTGGCAACAACCAAATCAACCAAACAAAAATTTAATTCATCTATTACCAAAGAACATTTATTAATCTTTTTATTGATTAGATTTAATCATTTTCTTCTTCATTTTACAAAATAATTGTTGAGCGGACATTAATATTTGGAATTATAATTTATCCAAAAAGTTATCTAAGGATGGTATGTTTGGTGATAATCCTTTTCTTGTTCTTGTCTCGACCACAATGGCGGCTGCCCTTGATGCTGGATCGAATGGATCACCAGGCATTAGTTGCCAGTGATCAAATATACATTGTGGGAAGGCCTGGCCCCCAGTTTGTGATCTTAATTCTTTATCGAATCCTGAAATTCACAGAATAAAAAATAAATATAACTATAGGGTAATCCTTTTAAGACATATAGAAATAGATTTCACTAAAATTAGAACACTTATATGGATGTACATGTACTACTTCTGAATTTTATTATCATGCTACGTTTCAACACTCATACAGGTATCGTTATCAAGCAAATAATGATTAGTTAACAAACATGTGGTGCAATATATAGATAAACTCTATTGGAAGCCATTTAGCAGATATATCTGCTTCCATGGGCATATCTTTAACTCCAATTTGCTCAAAAATCAATAGTTCCTGTGAGCTAACACCCTATTCTGGCCAATCTAGTGTATTTGGTTTTTGTGTGTGTGTATGGACTTACCAAACGATTCGTTGACAGGTAGATAAGCTTTCATGGTACAGATTGGTGTACCTGTTTGACGATGTTCTTCTATTATCAATCCACGTCTCTTATTAACAGAGCTATAGACACCTCCTATTACAGTATCAGTACACTACAACAAATAATACAATCTGATTATATGTCATACGTTGGCAAAGGGTGCACGGTCAGACAATACCTGACAAATGGGCAAATAAAGATTTTCAAATCATACAAAATAAAAGGTTGCCTTACCAACAACTATTAGAAGGGATCAATGCTAACAGAAGTTATGACTGTCTATAAATGGTTCCATTTTCTATTGATTTCATTCAGCCATCATTTTTCTCTAAAATCGTTAACTGACTTCTGAATGATAATTCGTCTCTCAACATGAACAACGGGATCAAAATGGCATCTAACCCACGAATCGTTAATTTTTTTGTTAAATTCATGAGGTTTTATTGTTCCTTTCAGTAATTTCTGTTTTTCTGTTTTCATTTATAATTGTAGTCTATTTCTCACCTGCACTTCAACAAGGTAAATAGGTTCAACTAGTCGAGGATTAGCTGTTAACACGGAAGCAAATAAAACTCGTCTTGCAGTAGGAATAACCTGGGCACCACGTCTGTGGGCAGGATCACTATGGAGATGAGCGTCTGTTATATTAAACCTGATACCTCGCATTGATTCCTCACACAAAACTCCCTGAAACATAAACGGATAAACCAATAAAGAATAAGTCTTAGATGAGTTAGTAAGCTAATAGCTTCAGTGGCTGCTTTGAAATCAAATGAAATGGGGTTTAACGTTCCACTTTTCTGCCCTTCCAGATGTGCTATGAGGGAAATTTTGCCCGGACAGTGGCGCTGTGGCCTACTAAAATTTCGACTTCCAACTGTAAAAATAATGTCCTTTAAAGTATCTTTAAAACAATACCCGGGGCCACAGTGGCTAAGTGGGTAAGACGCTGGCTTGCTAGCCTGGAGATCGCGGGTTTGCTCCCGGTGTTGGCCGAGCAAATTCATCGCGATTTTCAGACGTGGTCCACATTGTCAGTGGTGCAGGGCGGAGGGACTGACAAGGACAGTTGTCTAGTCGCTCGGATGGGACAGAAAAACAGGTTCCGTGTACACATTTGAGTGCACGTAAAAGATCCCTTGGCAGTTAGAATTCGATAGAAGAGTAGGCCGTAGCGCCGCTGTCCGGGCAAAATTTCCCTCATAGCACACTGTATGGCGTATGCCAGTCTTCATTAAATCTAGTCGGAACAGACCAGTAGGACGTTACAGTCCATTTCATTTCATTTAAACAATATCAAGCAATACCCACCTCCTGTGTAGACCACTGGAATCCAGCTACAACGGTATCTTTAATGTCTTGCATATATTGAACAGATTTTGTTGCATCAATCAATATATTTGGACCGCTACCCTCTGGACCGAAACACCAGATCTTTCTACCTAGTCCACTCTCAATACCGAAATTATCGTCCAGATAGCGAGCACGTTCTTTAAAGTCCTGTGTAGCTGTAACTGTACCCTGGTGAAAGAATAATAATCAATACAACAAGTTTAGGTGTAATTAATTATAAGAATCTTGCAGCATTTGGAACACCGGTGTTCACTGATTATTCTTTTTTTACAGTCCGATTCTGAAAATTTCCCACATACATGTATTATGTATAACAGGGAATTTTTATGTAACAAATGTATTGTACAAACCTCTTCTATTTCTTCTGATAAACCTTCTGGTAAAGGTTCCGCTGTAGCATATAATCTCAGTAATTTATTGTTACTTTTTGATAAACACGTTCTATCAGACCTGGTCGTTACCGTTTCTTTATAACTCACCACCGGATTCTTTCTCTACAAAATACAAATTAGTGTCGTTTTATAACACGAGAAGGTTTAAACGTTATACCATTATTTAAGCCATATTAAATAAGTTAGATTTCATTGTTTTAGAACATGGATTACAGCGCAATCTGTTTTAGAATACTGACCTTTAAAGGGATACCAGCGTGTATGTTTTCCAGATCATTCAAACATATTTCTAGATGTAATTCACCCGCACCAGCTACTATATATTCACCACTATCCATAGTACACTGTAAGTATTAAAATATAGAATAGTACACTGTAAATAATAATATTTATTTTATGATCAGTAGTGGAATACCGCGTTTTATCAGTGAAATAAAAGTGTTATTCCACTGGCTAGCAGTAGTCCATGTTGTAAAATCATAAAATAAATAGAACATTTGTCGTTTTGTCGTATATAACATATTTTATTTCATCTCTAAGCAAGAAAACGTTTATATTTTCACTCATGCTACGCATTCGTGAAAATATCATTTTCTTGCTTCTCGATGAAATAAAATATGTTATTCACTCTAAAACGACAAATATCCTCTATATATACAATATTCATATAGACCACTGTAAATAATAATATATAGGCCTACAATACTCATATAGACCACTGTAAATAATAAAATATACACTATCCATAGTACACTGTAAATATTGAAATATACAACAGTACACTGTAAATAATAATATATACAATACTCATATTATAGACCACTGTAAATAATAAAATATACATTATCCATAGTACACTGTAAATAATAACATATACACTATAAATAGTACACTGTAAATAATAAAATATTACACGACTCTCTATACTTTATTATTTATATATTTTATTTTAAAAATATTTGTTCATTTTTAACATTGTTGTGTTTAACATCTTATTGTTTACCTGAATCATCGTGTCGGCTTTAGCCAATCTCTTCATTCCTTCCACAAGCTTAGGTAAATCAGACGCGTGAACAACGTCCACTGCAACTCGAACAACAGGACTCACTGAAAATTTCAAAACCTGAAATGTAAGTATTTAAAATTAAAATATGTGTTATCACTGGCATCGAGAAAATATATAGAATTATAGAGTTGAATGAATTATGTACTAGTAAATTGAGATGTTATATTTGCATACATTCTAATTTGAACATGCCCGATGTAACTGTACATGCATAGTCAAATCAAACATTTTCCATTAAACTTCCACATAACCAATGGCTCTTTAAATAAGAAGTTATTTTTAAATTATTATTTATTTTACTAACAAAATGTTCTACTATAGAATATGTTTGTATAATTTATACCTTCAGGTTATGGGCGTGTTCATAAGATGTCACAGTTCCTGTCTTTACAAGATATCTATCAACACCACCGAGACCAGCAACATTACCACATGGCACTTGACTTAATCCAGTGGCAGCTCCACCCATCAAAACCACAACCCTGGAAGTTATAAAAACTATTAGAAATAGCATGGATTAAGCAAGCGTGCATGCGAGTAAACAGAAGAAAGTGAACACATTCTTGTATTGAAAATAAAAATAAACTACAGTTTTCTTACCTTGGTATAGATGTTAAATGCAGATTTGGATCGTTCTTTTTTCCTGGGGTATAACCTGGGCACATGATTCTAACAGGTAATCCACTTGTAACAGTTCCAGAAAACACCCTACCGAACGCATAGAAACGGCCTTTATCCCGAGATGGCACCATCTTCGATACATACATCATTAAAGGTCCGTTTGGATCACAACTTTGCATGGCTACAAAACAATCATTGGTCAATATAAAATTTAGTATAATACCAACGAGTATGCCTCTTGGGTGTCAAACGTACTCAATGTAACGTTACCGTCAGTGAGTTACACTTTTTGAGACGATAATATAAGTTACCAAACAGTAATGGGTTTAATTTTAAAAAAGAAAACACAGTGGAATCGACTTTCATATTCTTAAACTTAAGGCACCCTTGTTTCTATGTCCTATAATTCAACAGTCACAAATCGGGAAATGTATTTTTTCTAGATAGCGACAGCGCCATCGACATTACATTATCCAGTCAATAACTTTACTTGTACTGCCTTACATTAAACATATTAATCTAACGTACCAATGGCAGCTTCGTCATCCAAAGGGCCTTCATATAAAAGTTGTGTCCTGTATTTCTGGGCCACGACTGGCGAAGGTAAATGATTAATGATCATATCTAACATGGCGTCAGCAGCTGGTAACCATTTCTTCATCACTGTCTTCATAAAAATTTTACCCTCTTTTTCCATTTCTTCTGAATTTAACTTGATGCCAACTTTAGCGACAAGTTCCTTGGTTGTCTCTTTTTCACATTCTTTAGACGTTTGAAGAACCTAGGAAGGATTAAAATGATGATAATAATTTTATAAAAAGGTGTTGGCATCTATACAAAATGTGTATAACACATACAATAATTTAAGTTTGATAAGCTACCCAGGGACTTGATGTATTTACATTTTAACCTCATTTGAAAGCATAAAACTCTCACCTTCATTAAAGGTTCCATGATAAACTTGTTGAATCCACGAACAGAACCATCTGTCTCTGTTTTGCTCCATTTTTTCGTCTGTGGATTAAAGAAGTTATCTCCCCACAAGCGGCTCATCATCTTCTTCTCTGTGATAGAGAAGATTTTCGCATACATTTTAGCGAATGTTTTCAAATTGAAACCCCAGCCGTGCAAACCAGAACCAAACGAGACATTGCCTTTTACAGGATCAAGCTGAAAGTACATAATGCATCGACATACCATTACCCTGAATGTTTTTGTCAAGTGTGATAGAAAGGCGGAATTATATTACTAGATCAAGCTGAAAGTACCTTAATGCATCGACATACCATTAGGCTGAATGTTTTTGTCAAGTGTGATAGAAAGGCGGAATTATATTACTAGATCCCCACAAATTGTCTGAAGTATCACAAATGACCCAGTACTCTAGAACTGTGTCTGGGTTTTTAAAATTATTTTATTATATTCTATAGTCTGTCCTATAAACTTACCGAAACATCACCCATGGGAGAACTTTCATCACCATACATAGACAATATAACGTTGACGTTTTCAACTACTTTTCTCAGGCATTGGTAAATCTCTTCGGCTGACAGTTGTTTCTCAAAAATACATCGATCCAGTTTATTCATCATTAAAACTGGTTTAATGTATTCAGCTAGACCTTGTCTTAAGACTGTTTCAGTCTGCACACAAACTCCTATAAGATTGAAAAAAAAGTTGATCTCAGTAATTCAAATGTCAATAAATAATTTAATGGAATGGTGTCCTGCATGGCGTAAAATATAAGAATACAAGCCAACAGTGAGGCTGATGTCCCCCGCCGAAATCCCAAAATAAATAGATGACACATATTAATTAATCGCACATTTATTTTTTTTCACAAGTATCAAACAATCAAACTTAATATCAACTAAACACTAAGTTACATCACTATCTATCAGATAGAATCAAAGTTATCTTGTCCTAAAGCCCTGTTTAGCTTTAGCTCGAAATGTTATCATTGAACTCAGTCAAGACATTCACCTAATGAACATCAACATCAAGTTTAAACATTCTACCTCAATTAAAAGCAGAGTTGTTATGTTCCAAAGTCTTGACCAATCAAATTGCTTATCAGAAAACTTAGTCAAGGTAATGATATAATGAATCTATACTAGGAGTTTCATCACTCTCACTTAATTAAAACCAAAGTTATTGTCCCCCAAAGCATCAACCAATCAGATTGCTTATCTCTGCTTACGGTAAGCAGAAAATGCTCATCTTCGATCCCCATCAAGGCATTCGCCTTATAAACACCTACACCAAGTTTGAACGTTCTAGCTCAATTAGGAGGAGAGTTATTGTGTTCCAATGTCTCGGCCAATCAAATTGCTTATCGCTCTGCTTATCCTGAGCAGAAAATGCTCAATATCGACCATAGTCAAGGTAATGATGTAATGAAACTATACACCATGTTTCCTCACTCTCACTTAATTAGAACGAAAGTTATCTCGCCCCAAAGCATCAACCAATCAAATTGTTTATCTCTGCTTACCCTAAGCAGGAAATTCTCATCTTCTAACTCCAAACTCCATCAAGGCATTTACCTAATAACACCTACGCCAAGTGTGAACATTCTAGCTCAATTAGAAGGAGAGTTATTGTGCTCCAAAGTCTCGGCCAAACAAATTGCTTATCGTTCTCCTTACCTGAGCAGAAAATGCTCATTATCGAACATAGTCAAGGTTATGATGTAATGAAACTATACACTAAGTTTCATCACTCTCACTTAATTAGAACGAAAGTTATCGTGTCCCAAAGCTTCAACCAATAAAATTGCTTATCTCTGCTTACCCTAAGCAGAATATGCTCATCTTCGAGCTCCATCAAGGCATTGACCTAATAAACACCTACACCAAGTTTGAACATTCTAGCTCAATGAGAAAGAGAGTTTTTGTGTCCCAAAATGTGTCGGACAGACAGACAGACGGACGAACCCATTTTAATAGTCCCCTGCTTTCTTCGAAGGGCGGGGGACAAACATACCAGATCTATAATGCTGAATATATAAATAATAATGTATACCTACCAGATATACAATCGACCACAACCATTGCCCCATCTGTCACACGAAGAGCTGCCGTTACCTCAGATGAGAAATCAACATGACCAGGAGAGTCAATTAGATTAATTAAATATCCATTACTCTCAACAACGTCTTCTGCTCCCGCATCTTTAACATCGTCACATTCAACTTCATAATATAATGAGATGGCACTGTAAATACAATAAAATACAAGTAACAATAAATGGGGTTCTTATCCTGCAATACTAACTTTATTTCATACAATTGCGTGTATTGTCAGTAGAATGTTTTTTACCAGGACAGTTTTGTTGTAAACCTTTAATAAATTATTTAAAGATGGGTTCTCAGCAAAGTATTTATCAGGTGGTTATTTCCAATAAAAGTATGGTAAATTTGGTATTTATGGAAAGTTCTAGAAAAATACTGGATTCCCCGAAAAACACTCATGGACAAAAATGTAAGGGTTCCCCTAATCGACAGCCCGACGATTAGGAATTTCTGCACGCGTGATCTCAAAGGTCACACGCGAACATTGACCGCTTGATGTACAAGTTGATAAACTTTATGAACAGTTAGACGTACAACACTTTCTGAGATAAAAATGACGGAAAAAGATTTGAATATCATTTGGACCAAAAGTCTTTGTTTAATAAGGGAGTTGGATGGCGAATGGTTAGCACGTGCGCGCTGTATCAGAAGGTCTGTCATTGAGTCAACTGGCGTGGGTCGCCTGTCCAATCTCGTGGGTTTTCTCCGGGTCCTCCGGTTTCCTCCCACTGCTAAAGACCTCTATCCGCAAGCGAATTACTGAAATATAATTGAACCATGTTAGTCCCGAAATGACCTAGTTTGTGTCGAGTGGACGTTAAACCCCATCTCTCTTTGTCTCTCTCCTCTCCCTCTCTCTCTCTCTCTCTCTCTCTCTGTTTAATAAACAATAATTTTGTTGTGCTCTTAGAATATGTATTTCACCAGTGATCTGGCCTGCTGGGGACTTAAATCTCTGCGGAAGAATTCAAAGTTGTCAGTTAGAATCTGGTTGTCGGCGATTTTATCAGTTTCGCTTCATATAATATATGACTTACGTTGACTTGATGGTTATTCCTTTCAATTTTTCATCTTCTCTGGTATGGGTGGCCATCTTATCTCCAGCCTGATCTTGGGAGATAACACCAGCTTTAGCCAGTAAAGAATCAGTCAGGGTAGTTTTACCATGATCAACATGAGCAATAACTACCATATTCCTGATATTACTCTGACGGCCCATCACCGCGCTTAGCTGTTCTTTCGAGAAGTTTACCTAAAATTAAAGCGATATTGTTACTAGAAGCTACTAACAAGGTTTTAAGACCTTTGTATCAATACGATACCGGTAATAAAATCCAAATTAGGAGAATCATTAGTGTAACAAGCCAACAGTGAGGCTGATGTCCCCCGCCGAAATCCCCAAATAAATAGATGACACATATTAATTAATCGCACATCTATTTTTTTCCAAAGTATCAAGCAATCAAACTGATTATCAACTATACACTAAGTTTCATCACTCTCTATCAGATAGAATCAAAGTTATCTTGTCCCAAAGCAGGAAATTGCTTATCTCTGCTTAGCTTTAGCTCGATATGTTAATCATTGAACTCAGTCAAGACGAACATCTACATCAAGTTTAAACATTCTACCTCAATTTGAAGAAGAGTTTGACCAATCAAAATGCTTATTGCTCGTTAGCCTAAGCAGAAAATTCTCATCATCGAACTTAGTCAAGGTATTGATGTAATGAAACTATACACCAAGTTTCATCACTCTCACTTAATTTAATTAGAACTAAAGTTATCGTGTTCCAAAGCATCAACCAATCAAATTGCTTATCTCTGCTTACCCTAAGCAGAAAATGCTGATCTTCGCACTCCATCAAGGCATTCACCCCATAAACCCCTACACCAAGTTTGAACATTCTAGCTCAATTAGAAGGAGGGTTATTGTGTTCCAATGTCTCGGCCAATCAAATTGCTTATCGCTCTGCTTACCCTGAGCAAAAAATGCTCATCATCGAACTTAGTCAAGGTATTGATGTAATGAAACTATACACCATGTTTCATCACTCTCACTTAATTGGAACTAAAGTTATCGTGTCCCAAAGCATCAACCAATCAAATTGCTTATCTTTGCTTATCCTAAGCAGAAAATGCTTATCTTCACACTCCATCAAGGCATTGATCCCATAAACCCCTACACCAAGTTTGAACATTCTAGCTCAATTAGAAGGAGGGTTATTGTGTCCCAATGTCTCGGCCAATCAAATTGCTTATCGCTCTGCTTACCCTGAGCAGAAAATGCTCATCATCGAACTTAGTCAAGGTATTGATGTAATGAAACTATACACCAAGTTTCATCACTCTCACTTAATTGGAACTAAAGTTATCGTGTCCCAAAGCATCAACCAATCAAATTGCTTATCTTTGCTTACCCTAAGCAGAAAATGCTTATCTTCACACTCCATCAAGGCATTGACCTAATAAACACCTACACCAAGTTTGAACATTCTAGCTCAATTAGAAGGAGGGTTATTGTGTTCCAAAGTCTCGGCCAATCAAATTGCTTATCGCTCTGCTTACCCTGAGCAAAAAATGCTCATCATCGAACTTAGTCAAGGTATTGATGTAATGAAACTATACACCAAGTTTCATCACTCTCACTTAATTGGAACTAAAGTTATCGTGTCCCAAAGCATCAACCAATCAAATTGCTTATCTTTGCTTATCCTAAGCAGAAAATGCTTATCTTCACACTCCATCAAGGCATTGATCCCATAAACCCCTACACCAAGTTTGAACATTCTAGCTCAATTAGAAGGAGGGTTATTGTGTTCCAATGTCTCGGCCTATCAAATTGCTTATCGCTCTGCTTACCCTGAGCAGAAAATGCTCATTATCGAACTTAGGCAAGGTATTGATGTAATGAAACTATACACCAAGTTTCATCTCTCTCACTGAATTAGAACTAAAGTTATCGTGTCCCAAAGCATCAACCAGTCAAATTGCTTATCTCTGCTTACCCTAAGCCGAAAATGCTCATCTTCGAACTCCATCAAGGCATTGACCTAATAAACACCTACACCAAGTTTGAACATTCTAGGTCAATTAGAAGGAGAGTTATTGTATCCCAAAAAGTGTGACGGACAGACAGACGGACGGACGGACAGACAGACGGACGAACTCAATTTAATAGTCCCCTGCTTTCTTCGAAAGGCGGGGGACAATAATATCCCTACTAGCTCTAGTTCGAGTATTCCGATACAAACAATACGGTTACTTCTTCTTATTGTGGTTACTGTACACTGGTAGTAGTAGTAGATGGGGGTATTTTGCGCAAACATGGGAATATCGCATACTTCTTTCATAATAAATGTTCTTTAAATTCCCAAAATGTGTAGACGGGTGAAACTGTGTTTTTCTCCTCCAACGAATGGCATGGCACACTTTCTTAGTGGGAACAATGCGTAAAACTATTTATATCAGGAAATAAAAAAAAGGAGTAGATGCTGGCATGTCGGCGTGAAGAAGCGGTCATATAATCATTTCTTTTGAGTTTTCCCAATTATGCTAATTATTAGTAGAATTCCGCGGTAGATGTTTGAATTCCATTAACAAAATGATTTTTGTGAGGTTTTTTTATTTATCTTTTTTTTCCTTTTTTTTTTTGCCGACCAATTATTGACAAAAGTAAAATTGTAAATACACTCACGCCTGAATAAAATCAAACCATATCATAATTTTATGCTTACCATTTTACTGTTTTAGCTGCTCTGGGGCTTCCTGCAATATTAGATTTTATCACCGGGTGCAATGCACACACTCGTTATGTTCACATTTTTTACTATGTAAAAGTCCGTTTCGTTCAAGGTATTTATAGGTGCTCCGCGAAGCCTTGATATTTCACAACACCATTCCCATAATGCACTTGATTTCAATTGGTTATGAAATCATTAATACACAGTTCAGTGTACATATCAGTGGCGAAATCATTGTTGTTATTATACATAAATGTTCCCAGTTCGAGTTATTTTTAAATTCATTGAAAACATCTTGATTTACTAAATTTATTAGCCTATCTTCGATAAATATAGACTTCGGTGTGTTAATCACCGCGGGTGGGTTTTAGAAATACTGACATATGATATTGGGTTCTCTGCTGTCTGGTCATGCGAGTGCTGTGAATTTGTGCCCGTCTATAATTTTTGTACTTGTAATTTTATACATGTACTTTGTATATATGGCATGCTGTCCTCAAAGGACGTTTCTATTATATTCCTAGCTTGTATTTTTGATTTACGTATGTTCAAAAATTTAATTGCCTCTGCAATCTGAGACATTGATGAGCAATATAAACATAATCTTCATGTATTTTCGAAAACACCCTGGAGTATGGCCTATTATGAAGTCCGATTAAAATATTAAATTATATTTTTGATAAGATTTAGTGCCGCAGACAATTGATGATGGTGTTGGTATCCAGGACTGGATTTATATGCAATAATTAGATTATATTTTTTATTATACATATTTAACAAAGTATGTGTAGGGGCGTCAGAAATTAGAAAAACAGGGGTTACTAATTGCCCCTCAGGTTTGGCTGTTTTTACCATTCATACATATCGGGGATATTAGGCTATACTATTCAAAAAAAGTAGGGGATATTTGATTTTGGGGGCATAATACTAAAATATGCAAATGACTACGAAAAAAGTCACTATAGAACCTAACAGAAGAAACATTTCCAGTTACATGTGACGCCCAAACGCACCAATAGCTACCGCATGGAATGCAGGTGATGCTTGGGATCATCATGGGGGTCCAACCCAAGATTTGCACGACTCTGAATTTGAATGTTACAGTCATTGTGGCATTGAATTCCAGGGTGGAAACATCAGTTTAATTGTTTTAGTGACCAGAAAACAAATTTTGATATGCGTCGGCTTACCCAAAATAAAAGGTTACGTGCCCTTGGCATGCTACAGATCGGCACAATACAGGCGGTTGTGGCGCGGACGATGAATGTTTCTCAGTCTGTCATAAGCAGGCTATGGTCCAGATACCGTGATACACAATCTGTACAGGACAGACCACGCTCAGGTCGACCAAGGGCGACAACTCAAGCCCAGGATCGATTTATCCGTACCTTGGCTTTGAGAAATCGTGTCATCACAGAAAATCAGATCAGCGCTCGTCTTCAAACAGACACTGGTGTGAGAGTGAGTGGCCAGACGATTCGGAATCGACTGCAAAGGGGTCACCTTCGCGCCCGACGTCCTCGCGTGATCCCTTGTTTGAGAGATCATCACATTCAGGCAGGACGTCGTTGGTGTAGGGATCGTCAACACTGGGATAATCGACGCTGGAGCAATGTGATGTTTTCAGATGAGTCAAGGTTCACTGTTGATTTTTTGGACAGACGTAGGAGGGTGTGGCGTCGTCGAAACGAGCGCTTCCAAGACGTTAACGTCATCAGACATGATCGATTTGGGGGTGGTTCTGTTATGGTGTGGGGAGGCATCACTGTTGCTGGAAGAACGGCTTTACATGTTGTTGCAGGGCGTGTTACAGGCCAGTACTACCGGGACAACATCTTGGCAGTCCATGTTGTGCCGTTCGCACGAGGTCATGGCCGCCGTTTCATCTTCCAGGATGACAACGCAAGATGTCACAGGGTCAGGATCGTTACAGGTTACCTCCAACAACAGAACATCACCACATTACCTTGGCCAGCACTGAGTCCCGACCTCTCCCCCATCGAGCATGTCTGGGACATGCTTGGACAGAGGTTACGTCAACGTCAACAACGTCCTGCCAATGTCCAAGAACTTGCTGCTGCGTTGCAACAGGAATGGGACAATCTGGACCAAAATGACCTTAGACGTCTCATTAGGAGTATGCCACGTCGGATCAATGCTTGTTTGGCAAACAGAGGAGGATTTACCCGTTACTGACTTGGTTGTGATGCTGTGGTAACTTTGCTGTTTGACCCCGGGTATCATTTTACCCTTATAATGGTCAGTCAGTGCCTTACTTAGTCTAACGATCATTTGGAATAAATCGATGAATGTGAACTTCATTTCATTTTGTCATTTGTTTCTTCGTCAGTTTCATTAGGTGACTTTAATAACACTTAAAAATCAAATATCCCCTACTTTTTTTGAATAGTATATATAAAGAAAGACACTAATAACTAGTTTTTGGCTAGCGCTTTATATACTGTTCAATATTAATGTTCACCATGCCTTAATTTAACTAATAAGACACGATTATTCTGCAGAATATTCTGTAGAATATACATTCTTGACGATTGTGCAATATTTCTCATTGGAACGTGTGTGTGTCATGCATTGTCGTCTGTGCACATGTCATCAGCCTTCATACTACACACGAGAGAGCTAGAGAGAGAGAGAGAGGGATGGTTTAACGCCCACTCGACACAAACTAGGATCTCGGAAATAACATGATCCAATAATTCGATTGCGCGTAGGGGTCTTTAGCAGTATAGGCGGAAACCAGAGGATCCGGAGAAAACCCACGAGGTTAGACAGGTGACCCTACTCCTTGTCACGTTCAAGCGGAGATTTGAAACCACGTCACTTGACTCAATGTCAGCTTGACGCCGCAATATATCTAGATCCCCTCTTTCTTCATACCATATCTACACAATCACCAGTAATTAATTCATTTCCTGTTACGGGACCTGGGGGTTTTACTAGACAGTATATACAATAACGGGACTATGAATTAATGCTGTCGGTGGGGATGGGGTGCACATTATTCAAAATAAATGCAGAAATTTATTGGAGCCCTGCGTCAATTTAGATGAACGAGACTATGTCTTGACTACTCTGAGTTATCACCCCTCAATTATTCTTCAATGAAGGAAACTTAAAAAGACGCCCTTGGTGATAATGTAAATACAGGTGTGATCCCATCCAAAATGGTGCGTTTTCTTATTATTTCTAATGCTGTAGAGGTGAATCGACCGCAACCCCATCCCCACCATAAAGCAATACACTAATCACTTATGAAACTAGGCTAATGAAACCTTTTTTTCCATTTTAAATACCACTTAAAATATAGCAAGGTATCATTAAAGATACATTTATGATTATGAGAGATTAGATAAAGAGCTGACAGTTCTCCCTATAATAGTTAAAAACTATATACTGTAAAGGGAATTTGCTGAAAATTTCAGTGAAATTGATCCACTATGAACCGAGATTTTAGCGATTGAGTTTTCGGCCTAGCCTCGATCATCATTACTAAAAGTTGGTAGGATAAGAAACATAGTCTCGATTATCCATTTGTGAATTTAATTATGAATAGAAGTCGTACAGCAAATCGAAACCTAATCGAATAAACATTGCAGGCTAGCGATGCCACCGAGAGTTGATTATGGTCTGGATAAGTTAATTAATGTCTAATTAATAATTTAGATAACATTTCAGGCCTAAAGAAAGATCTGCAATAGGCAGATTTAGCTCTTGCATAATGTATGTTTAATGATTGTTCGCCTTACTAATGTTTAGTAATAGAAAGTGGTTAAAAATTATACATAATACAGTAGTCATTACTCATTACTTAGCAGGTGTGTAAACACAAACCCAACCAATAGTGGTGTATATCATTCAGTACGGGTAATCAAGGTCTCAACACCCTAGTGACATAACACTTACTTAACCACCTACTAGCTAATATAGATCTACTGACAATTTTAACCAAGTATATGACTTAGATTTGTTTGTGTCATACATTTTCATTTATAAAAGGTATGAACTGTACATTCCTTTCAAAATACTACTACTCCCAATCAAATAAGCGACAGTTTTATGCCAGTTTCCATATATCTGAACTTGTATAAAGATTTAGATAATTAAAGAAAATAGCTGCCTATTTTTAACATATTCCCTGGCCTATAAAAAGTGTACCCATGATGATCACCTTTTTTTTTTTTATAATTTTCAGGGTAATGAAGCATCCCATTTAACACCAGAACAACTAGAAGAAATATCAGCCAAAACACCATGTATGTTAAAGAAGATGATCCTCTTTGATTTAAGTCAAAATAAAGTATTAAAATAGCTAAGTCTCTAACTCAATATCATCTAAAGTCTTCGACATTGAAAGCACGAATTATTTGTCAATTTAAATCAACATTGATGTTGTGATCTTACCGGTAAAAGATGGGCTTCTGATATCCAATATTTAAGACAAAATAAACATTTTACCATTGGTACACGAATCATGTACCATGATGCGTTTCAGTGCCATTTGTAACAAGGGACTCGTAGAGAGAGAGAAATGGGGTTTAACGTGCACTCGACACAGACTAGGTCATTTCGGGACTAACATATGGTATAATTTTATTTCAATAATTCGCTTGCGCGTAGGGGTCTTTAGCAGTGGGAGGAAACTGGAGGACCCGGAGAAAACCCACGAGATTGGACAGGCAACCCTACTCCTTGTCACGTACAACCGGGGATTCGAAACCACGCCAGTTGACTCAATGACAGGCCTCGTGATACAGCGCGCGCGTGCTAACCATTCGGCCATCCAGATAATGAAGATAAATTATCCTAGAAAACAGATTAACATACAAAATCAGATTGTTTATTCTTTTTAATTCCATTTTTACACACAGTTAATTTTTATCTCAATACACCAAATTTTCAACAAGGACCATATGTCATCCCACAAAACAATCCATGTAATACTATCTAATAATGAAATAGACAATTTTATATTTCTCCAAATACAAAGACGACTAATTTTTAAATTATTTGAATCAATCTGTAATTGGTGAGAAATTTAAAAGCTTTTAGTACCGGTATTAAAGATAAGGTTCGGTTATTTTGTAAATATATTTTTATTAGCTAGCTGGTAATAGAAAAATTATAGTTCTGTTACACAACACATGTATAATTACTAATAAATGAAATGAAAGTCTCATTTGATTGATATTCATTTTTTTCCCCAGTTAAAACAAAAGAATTAGAGAAGCTGTTAAAGAGATATTCACAATATGATTCATCAGAACGAGGGATCAATGGAATACCATACAATACATGTGTTTCAATTCCAGAATTTTCTGGAAATAGATTTGTTCCATTCATTATAAAGCATTATATGGACAAGAATTCAAACAGTATATACCCAAAACAGTTTCTGGCTATTTGTGGCATTCTTAGCCCTGACACTTCAGCCTTGGTGAAAAAAGAGTTTTTGTTTGAGATGGTTGATGACCACAATGTTGGTGTTTTAAAGCATGGTGAAATGTTTAGTTTATATAAGATAATATTTAGTGAAAGTATCAGTGATAATATTATCTTAGATTTAACATTTAGATCTTTAAATCATACTGAGTTAGAAAAACCAGGAGAAATAAGAAAGGATGAATTTGTGAAGGTAATTGTAATCTTTGTACACTTTATAATAGCCTGTACAGAAAGAAATAGTTAAGTTAAACCTGAGGCAAATAAAGATGTTGTTTACCTGAAGAGCTAGTAATCGACAAATAATGTAGTTCTTTTTTCAAAAACTTTTATATTTTTGTGTATAATATACATACACACCTTATTATGCTGGCATGGGTCGTCAGAAGTATTAGATTAAATACCCCTAGAAAGTCCATAAAGTTAGAGACAGACCTACCCCTTGTCACTTTAAAAATAGATCACCAGACAGCTGTCTGAAAACAAAATCAATTTCAGTAGGTAGTGGAAGTGTATATAAAAATAACTTGACTTAATATCATTTTATATTTCAGATGATTCCTGATAATGAAATAATGTCTAAACTATCTGTTAATCTTCAGTTAACATAATATACAATATCATGTGATATGATAAGTGTTTGCGACTCTAGAAGGTAGTAGTGATATATAAAGTTTGATAAAGTTTCTTACAGTTCACTGAAGTACTGTGGACAGTAAATTGGTCTCTGAATTAACTAAATCTTGATAATAATCAAGCCAATGGAGAGTAACATAATTTCAATCAGGTTATCACCAGAATAAATATGATAAACAAACTGTGGTGTAGCTATATAAAGGATAATATGCATAAAAAGCATTAAGCTTACAGGGTAAACCATTTTCATGTTGGATAAAAGTTGTAAATTTATTTGTTGAGTTTTTACATGAGCTATGAACAATTCTGAATAATGCTTCTGATGATTATCGGAAGTTGAAATTGTAAACTGATGACAGTCACAAGCCCTATGGGTCTATGTGCTCCAAAACACAATTACTATCAACAATTATTCCTAATTATGGAGAATAAATTCATTTAAATTGATTTATAACATTATATTGTAGGAAATAATTCCAATACTTTACTTAAAAATCACTCTATATGGAATAATTTAACCTTGTATTGATTTTAAAATTAATTGGACATCAACTAATCACACACATTATATAAAAGTAGAATCTAGTAGGGATGTACATTTAACGTCAGACATCTGACGCTTTATATAATATATCAGGATTTTCTATATCTTTTTTACTTTGTATTAATCGTAGTTCTAGTTGATGCGTTGTTGGTTTTTCCTGACCTGCTAGAGCTGAAAAGTTAAACACAAAGTCTGTTAATAACATACTCTTCAATTATCTTACAAGTAGCTTTAAAGATGCATTATGTAAGAACTAAATCTGCCTATCACCTCTTTGGGAGATTAGATTAGAACAATGCTGTCATTTAAGAGTTTAAAGATAGGCTGCCAGTCAGTGAAACACACACTCACAGTAGCTAAATTGTCGGAGCAGTTGACAAGGGTTGCCACATATTTATTCTTTTGTAGGTAATGGGAACATTTACAAGACATTGATATAAAAGTGAAAAAGGGCTATAACCTTGGGCGGAATTAACCAAAATTGTTGAAATTAAATAGGCTTCTTCGTCTCACTAATGTTAATAAAAATTTCAAAAAGATCAAATACTAAATGTAATCTATTGAGTGTTCACATAAATGGATGGAGGCAACAAAAATATACAACCACATTTCCATGTCGGGGGGTATAATGATAAAATAGATAATCAAGACTTAGTCTCGCCTGTCAAATACCATTGCTAGGATAATAAACAATCTAGCTACATTTTGTCAAAACGTCAAACACTCATAACTTCACACAGTATAAAGTTATTTTCAACATATACATTTTTCATTATCTATTTTTGAACTTTTATAGCAAGAACGGCAAGCTCTTTATCTAATGCTTACATAAAATGCATCTTTAATCAAGTGCAACTTGCCTTAAATAAAGGGACTATCCCGATTTGAACAGAGTCGCAAAAATAAAAGTCCGAGTACGTATGAAATTTAAGTGCCAAAATATAGAGGAATGGTGTATTTACCTCGTCTCAAAATTCCAGCTCATAATATTGAGTCGTTTGGACGAGAACGTCAAAACTGCTTATCTGGACACGTAACCCTTTTAAGATTTCGGGTCAGTTTTTTCGTTGGGTGACCTGATAATCGATTCCCGTCCCTTAAGAGGTCTATACAGTGAATGACCCATGCGTTGTACTTGATAACGAAAAGTAAATTTCACCTACACATTATTTTAATAAAAAAAATGTCTAGTTTTATCCGGACAGCGCATAATACAGTTTGTGACACCAGTGTCCATTTCCAGATGAAGACTGACAGGATTAAGTTGTTTGAAAACGTATCACAAATATTGAGTTAGTTGCTCAGCCCTTAGGTAGGGGATTTTAAGGGACTTTAACACAAAATTAAGCAGTTTTATTCTCCCAAAAATTATCGGGATTAGCCCTTTAAACTAAAAAATGAGCATGGAGAATGTGAGCAGGGCTGCCGACAACCAGTATCGCAGCGCAATTTGCGATACATATTTTGTCCGTTGCTAACCAAAAATTAAAATCTAACGTTTTTGATTCGCAGTTACTGCGAATCATCAATATGCCTGTCATTTTGGATATTGACACAAGAATAATCCACATTTTGAAGACTAGAAGGCTTACTCAACACTTTCAACGTGTATAAAATGTTGAATAAAATTTTATAAACAAAACTGAATTCTCCGTGTGACATTTTCTTCTCGAACTACCAGACACAATACTATATAACACATAACTCTATGAATAGGGACTATTAAACCGGAAATAGGGAATCAAGTAGTACCACTCACGTTGCGAGACATCAAGTAATTATATCATATTCATTTTGAAAGAAATAAATCCAATGTATCCCCCACGTATTGTAAATAAAATATAAAAAAATAAATACATGTTAACGTATTGTAAAATGATAAATCAAAGTAAAAATTCCCGTAAAACATTATTGTTTATATCGTGTGTGTCTAGTTAATCGAGGTGTGTCCGACTGAAGAAAAATAGTAATACACGATAAAAAGCAGACGAAATTGTTTTCTAACGAAGATTTCTAACGTAACAAAAAAATAACAATTAAAATGAGTGGGGCTTCGGAAGTCACTGTCAAGAATTGGCTTCAGACATAAGACCTAACTAAATTTCTACATCACATTCACAAACTGTCACAAGTACTTGTGGCAGTGCTAAAAAATCTAAGAATATAGTCAGAATGGAATCTAATCATATTTGTTATGAATTAAAGTAATATCTTGTTATTTAGGTGTTTTACATTGAAACTGAAAAACTGCTAATCAATTTTTAAATTTGCTAATCAAATTTGGCGAAATTGGACTTTTTGATTAGCAGTGCTGCTAATCAACTGTGAAAAATTACCGACAGCCCTGAATGTGAGGCGGATATAAGCTGTTAATCTTGTGAGCTGGTTGACAAAGAATATTATATAGTCTCGAACTATTAGTGATAAATGTCAGCTATTAGAGCAATGAACATTTCACCTAAATATTTGGGCGAAAAAATAATGGTCATATCTCTAGAAATATGTATTGCATGGATTTATCTCTATTTGATACTTTATAACATTATATTGCCTAAATTATGATTTAGATCAGTTTTCAATTATGGAACCATTGGTGGCTCCGTCAAATGGCGCTGGTCACTAACGGGGAGTTCATGGGTTATCCCAGTGTTGGCTGAAACAGTGCCTCAGGATTTTTAAGTGTGGTTTCCCCTCATCAGTAGTGCAGGAAAGAGGGCCTTGAAGGAACATATTGTGATGATTTATGGGGAAGCATATACAGAAATGATTTTGATTGGTTTGGATGTTATAGCCCACACAGAGTAAAATCTGATACAAGCAGGATACCGGGTTTGGCCCAAATTTGACTGGGCCTAAATTTGCCTGGGGGCCCGAATTCAATGGCCTAAAAAATATTATAACATATGCGGGGATTGATCGCGTCGACGAAGCAATTTCACCCAGGGCCCAAATTCGATGGCCTAAAACATTCACGGGGTCATGCTGGTTAATTTGATACCACATATGTGGGGGTGGATTGCAGCAATGAAGCGTGATGGGCAAACATACACACACACACATCTTTGATTTTATTTATATAGATAAATGGGGAAGGATATACAGAAATGATTCTGTTTGGTTTGGATGTTATAGCCATATGGAGTAAAATTATCTGATATAAATGGCAGAACATTGTGATGATAGAAAGGATGTTATATTACAATGTTGTGTAAAATTTAAAATAAAAATTGGACCAATCTTGTGCAGTTTATTTTAAGGATGTTTTCAGACCTGTTATATTAAAACCTTTACCCACCCATGTCATCAAGGTATTTATCTAAAAATTTCAATCTCCATAGATTGCCATGTATTTGTATTGAATGTTATATAGACTCACATATAGCATGATCTAAAGTTCTTCTAATGACAGCTTGAAGTGTTGATACTGTTTTTTCTATAGCTGTCTGAAAACAACAAAATTATAAATCTTAAGTAAAATAGGGATGAGGCAGTGGTAGTGATCTATAAAGTGTTTTTTGTGCTACAGAGCTTGGGGGTTGGATGGCCTATTGGTTAGCATGTGCACGCTGTATATCATAAGGTCGTCAATAAGTCAACTGCCATAGTTTCGATTCCCTGGTTGTACGTGACAAAGAGTAGGATCACCTGTCCAGCCTTGTGGGTTTTCTCCAGGTCCTCCGCTTTCTTCCCACTGCTAAAGACCCCTACGCGCAAGCGAATTATTGAAATAAAATTGAACCATGTGTTATTCCCAAAATGACCTAGTTTGTGTCAAGTGGACTTAAAGCCTCTCTCTCTCTCTCTCTCTCTCTCTCTCTCTCCAGAGCTTGAGTCAGTAAAAGTGGTATGAGAGGAGAAAATGTTCTGTATTTTCTCCGATTACATAGTTGTGTATTTATCATATTACCTTGAGATGTTTGTAGGCTGTTCATCCGGTAAAATTGAAACAGTACCAATGTTTTTGTATTTTTTCTGATATTACAATGCATACCAAATGAAAGTAACACCAATTGTCCCTCTTCCTTACAGTAAAATTGTCCCCATATTCTTACCTTTAAATTTTTATCTTTGTGAATCCATGCTAAAAGGGTTGCAGCAAACAGATCTCCTGTTCCAGAGAATGTTGCGGGTAAAAATGGCATTTCTACTTTATAGGATTCTTTTTTCCCCCCTAAAATATCATTCAAAACAAAATCTTGTTTTATGTGTAATTATTGAATAAAAAAACAAACTAAGAAATTTGCTGACAATACAATAAAGTAGATTAAGACCTATGTTTTAATGCAGTTAATATAAGTTATAAATACAGTGCTGTCTGGCACCGGAATACATTTAATGTAAATTTCCAGTAGAATAGATTATAACTTTTTTCTTAAGAGCATTCACATGAGCCTACATACAAAGTAAACAAGAAGTAGTTAACATGAATTGCTGAACCTCAATATCCACAAATTTTTTTCGCTGACCGGGGCAATAAGAAAATATATGAATTTTGATAGGGTTCTTCATTATGGCTGCCCCAAAATCAGAGCTGGTAACAAAATACTACCACATGAAATGAGTATATCAAAATGTTCATCAAAATTTGTAGTTAGTAATGACTGACACTGGAGTTTTCTTCCTGAATAAACAACAGAATATATATAATTTTACCTATTACAGAGCTAGCTATACAGAGTAAATGCCCATCATTACCCAGAAGACTACTACTTAAAACAACAGTTACAACACCTCGTTCATGTAATATATCTATAGCTTTTACACAATCTTCTATACTCCTTATACTCACTTCTGTTAATAATCTGTAATACATATCATTATCAATAATTTAATAACTAAATATTTAATGAACAGAATATCAGAAGAGATGGAAATGAAATGAAATTTTACATCCTACTGTTCTGCTCCAAATCAGAAGAGAGGGAAAGAAATACTACTGGTATTTAACCTCCACTAAACAGCCCTGTAGAACATTTTGGATTAACATGATATTTTTTTATTTCAATTATCTGCTTGAACAGGTGTCATTAGAAGTGGGAGGAAATCAGACAACAGATGCTACAGCTCGTGGGCAAAATGATGTCATTAACTAACTAAATCTGTTCCCTTAGAACGGGTTGGTCAATGATCTTGTGGCCAATTTTATTGCTTTACTTTCTTTTTTATCATAGTAACTCTATAGAATAAGACAAGGTTCAACAGTATAATGTATGAAACAAGTGTTTGCCCAAAAGATACGCCCACATTTTGCAAGAGATGGATGGGGAACATGGAAAATCAACAGGACTTTTCTGTTCATTGTCCCAATGTTTCACACTGAATTAGAGTTGAGTTTTGATGGGCAACAAAATCGAACTCATTCAAGATCTGTTGATCCTTATCATATAGTTTAAGTTTCATTGCTTCGGACAAAAATTGTAGACCCTCCAGGGTAAAAATCAGGGGCTATAACTCTAGAATTGAGGGTCTGATGCGTACCAAAATCAAACTCATCCAAGCACTATTGACCCTTAACAAATATTTCAAGTTTAATCTGAATCAGACAAAAGTTGTCGCCTCCGGTGGGTCCACAAACTTGTACATATTTTACATTTTGCGTAAATGGGCAGGGGGCATAACTCCAGAATGGAAAGTCTGATGAGCATGAAACTCATCCAAGAACCTTTGATGCTGAACGTACATCTTAAGTTTCATCTAGAAAAAACAAAAAGTGCAGCTTTAGAGGGTTAACAATTCCACAACAATTTTGTCGGGTCAGTTTAGGTCCGATTTTCACAAACTTCGAACTTAATCGTAGTTATGGTGCAAAGGTGACATATGAGTGGGTCCACAAGCTATAAAGGGAGTCAGGTCTAAATATTAAGGCCTTGTCAAGGTCACAAGATTGTGGGCTAGGGCTAGGGTTAGCTAAAAACCTGATTTTGCATACAATCAGGGGCAATAATCCATGCAGTTACGACCCAATACATGCCAATATCGAAAGGAAACCAAGATCTTTGGGATATAGTATATTTAAATGAAAATGTGGGTAGATCAAAACTTACTCTAATTCAAATTGATTAGGCGTAATAATATCAGCTAATGGAATGATGACATCTCTATACACGGGTAATAATTCCTGAGGTACATACTGAAAATATACATTTCACATGTATAAACAAATTTTTAGAAAAATATTACTACTATGTTTTAAAATATTTAAACAGATTCAATTTAATGATTCACATGAAATTATATTAATTCATTCATTATTAAAAAGCGCAATGTGTCTAAAATGTCTTTTTTTTAGGAAATACATATAAAAGAGCAGCTGAAATTGTAGAAATGCCCACCTTTTGAAAAATTTCGGAAATGGCTGCAGTCAAACAAGGATTAGTTTGGTGTGTTGGCTATTCGCAGTTAAAAGCAACTATATATAAAATGAATCAAGTGAGTTCTATGATTCCACAATTAATTGATATCTTATGGTTATAAAGCCACATAGCAAGTTTATATTAATTGGATTTAATCTGTAGATTCCAATACAATCGCTAGCTATTCATGACATATTTGATCAAAATGTAGATTCTAGTGGCTAATGCCTTAACAGGCTATTTTGTCAAGGACAAATTTAGACCCTGATGCGATTGTAAGTAATGTGGACAGACCAATAAATAAATAATTTATGAAAGTAGACTATATATTATTAGTAAAAATATAGAAAGGGATATACAATATTGATACAATAACCCACCAGCCTATCTTTATTAATTATCTTTCCATTATAACCTACCATCTTGCCATGATCTCCCATCACAGGATCACATACTAAAAAAAACAAAGATAGGTTGCCAGGCAACGAAACACACGCCCACAGCAGCTAAGTCGTCCAGGCAGTCAACAAGGGTTGTTAGATCCGAGCATCCAGTAATGAAAACATTTACAACTCATTAAGTAATTATCAGAAATCATTAGAATTTTTTTTGATTGTTTGTCTCATGACCTTTAACACTGTATAAATTTATATTAACTTTAGCCTCTAGCCCGTCCACAAAATTTTTCAAAGTGATTAAGGGCCATAACTCTGGTAGTAATTGTTGAAAATCAACTAGCCTCTTTGTCTCATGACCTAAAATACTGTATCTACATCTAAAGTCAATCGGACTGGGGCAACGACAATATACAATCAAGGATGTGCCCAGGATTTGCTGAGTAGTGGAAAAAATAGCTTCCGAGCGGAGCGAGTAAAAAAATTTTTGAGAGGGGGGGGGGCGTGGTCTTTATGAAAATTCAACCCTTATTGGTGTATTTTCAGAGCATCTGCTGCCTTTTGTATTTGTTTCAGTGCAAATCAAATTTCCATTTTGCAGTCCTCGAAATTAAGAATTTTCTAATTTTTACTACGGCACAAACAAATGAAAAATGCCGTAGCAGAATTGAACTGCTACGGCACCACAGCATTTTTTGGAACCGGTACATAAAAATAAAGTTTTCAAAATTGATTTACTGTTCATATGCTAAACAAAACTAATGTAAGTGGTATTACATATACCATTATAGTTATTATTACTATAGTTTACAATATACTGCAAATTAATTTACTAAAAAAAAAAGAACTGTTTCAAAGTCAAAAAAGCCTCTCGTACTTATAAGTGATTAGTGAACAAACAAGTAAAACAGTACACTCGCCTTGCCGCCTAATTTATTTTTTTGTGGCAAGTGTAAATAAAATGGACTGTAGTCCAGCTGTCTCTAGGATTTAGTTTAGATTCGGTAGAATTTACGGTAGAATAAATACATTACAAATTGATCGTAAAACTGAAAGTACGACACCATTTACGACATCCAAACCTTTAACATTGGAGTGTCGTAAATTGGTCTGGGTGACATATTTACGGCAAATTTAAAGACCGTAGAATTGTAAAATGAATAGACCTACACAACTTCTAAATTTAAATAAACAAAATACCAATACTTCTTTCTTTAAACTAATTTGGGATGATAGGGTCTTCTACGGCACCCAAAAATAAATTATGCCATGGCAGACATGGTTTGCGTGGGCTTTTACCATGGCTTTGCCGTTTGCCGTGGTAAATTTTGAGCGCTGAGTTTGTGTACAGAGAGGGGGATCACGTGGCTAAGTGGGTAAGACGCTAGCTCGCTAGCCTGGAGGTCGGGTGTTCGATCCCTGCATTGGCCGAGAAAGTTCATCCAGATTTTCCGGCGTGGTTCTCCCTTGTCAGTGATGCAGGACGGAGGGGCTGACAAGGAAAGCTGTCTAGTCGTTCGGATGGGACGAAAAACCGAGGTCCCGTGTACACATTGGCGTGCACGTAAAAGATCCCTTGGCAGTTGGAATTCGATATAAGAGTAGGCCGTAGTGCCGCTGCCCGGGCAAAATTTCCCTCATAGCACACTGTATGGCGTATGCCCGTCTTCATTAGCCCAGGTTAGGAGCAGAACAGTAGGACGTTAAACTCCATTTCATTTCATTTCATTTCATTTTGTGTACAGAGACGGACGAAGGGATTTAAATATGACTGGGCGGCTTTCATTGATTTTTTCTTTGTGCTGTACATCCCTGTACAATCACATTTCAATGTGGGCGTATAAAAATGATCAATGTCTCTATTCTCTGAAATATATTTTGATAGCTGTTTTAATAATTGCCAAGCTATTCTATTATTTTGAACACATCAGTCACATAGTAAAACAAATGTGATATTAGTTTTATTATGGTTTTCTCATCGTGTACAAAACATTTATTTGGTTGCCTGAACCACCTGTTTCCTTATGGCCGGATTAATAACTATTTGATATCCAAGGTCACACACACAGTACAATGTAGCTTCAGCTGCTGAAATAAGTTGTACTTTCGTTTTAAATGCAAGTCATGATGATTTTATAAAAGAAACTAACTTACCATATTTTACACTGGGAGATTTAGCTTTGATTTCACTAACCATTTCACCAACCTTTTCCAAAAAACTCTTGGACCCAATATAACCTAAAAACAAACCAACAGGTAACAAGTCAGGCAATCCCCAAACAAACAAATAGCACACATTAATTATTTGAACATTTATCTTTTCATCAAATGTTATCAAGCAATCAACTTCATGCAAACAAGACTTCATTGACGCATATTTCTATTTGCAAAATCGCATCATGAAACGAGAGCCACGGTGACTCAGCAAGTAAACTTTTGACTCACTACCCTGGAGAGCAGAAAAAGTTCCTCAGGATTTTCCGGCATGGTTTTCCCTTGTCAGTGGTGCAGGATATATGGAGGGCCTGGCAAAGAACAGAGATGGGACAAAAAGAAAACCAAGGTCCTGTGCGACTCTCCTGACAACGTAAGCCCCTAGTGTATTCACAAGATTTATCAGCTTGATCAAGAACAAAACTCTGTAATAACATATCTTGTTGAAAATCTATAGGCTTCTGCCTCTGTTTCTATACTCAGACACAATGAATACATACCACTGATTTCAACAACAAATGATTGAGATCGTAACAACTTTACTTCTCAGTGAAAATTTGGCATAATGCGCCAGTCTTGTTATGGCAATGTCACACATTGCTGTCTCGGCCTTGGCCTATCTCTTGGTGACCTCTCAGTGTCCAGGTGTCAACGATGATATTATTACATCTTCCACAGATCTGTTGGGGTTGTACTAACTTAATAGTTTCAAAGACACATTTTACACCCCATTTCTGACCCACTAACCTATTCTACCTGATATGAGGATATACTCACAAAGAACCCAGTTAGTAAATATTCACAGATCGCTTCTACACACTATGCATCTAACAGTGTATATTATTACATCTTTCATAGATCTGTAGGGGTTGTACTAACCCTGACAGTTTATAAGACACATTTTACACCCCATTTCTGACCCATAAAATCCTTGTGATCAGATGTTGTTACAATCAAATTAAAGGGTATTTTTGATATAAAATCAACCATTTATAAAAGTGACAGCGTTCTCAGTCTATTATATGGTAATTTATGCCATTAAGAGTGTCAGGTTATTTGGTGTATCTAGTGTGTTAATATTCAAATTGTAAGCAGATTTTGATGGATATGAACATGAATTTTATCATCTTCATTAGCCAACTGTTGAGGTTAATAAATGCATAAAATTTGAAATGGACTACATGAGTTTGAATATCACAAAATATCTTCATCTAGTTGTCTGGTATTATCCATGCATCAATTTCAAAACAATTTATTGTGTACCACCAAATAGCCATTTATATACTTTAATATAGCTGACATGAAACTTGTATACTACCTGTTAAAACATGAGAATATTTCAGTAAATTGTTTTGTTTCAATCCTTCATATAATGCACCAATATCATTGGAGTCTAGAATCTGTCCTTTAAATTTTCCATATCCTAAAAAAAAAGTGTTTTTCAGTCATTGTTTTTTTAAGGAGAGTGATCGCTCACCTGAATGTCGACCGAGGGGAGGTTTTCCTCCCTCCCCTTACAATTGAAAATCGCTCTCCTTTACAAAGTCACGAGGGGGTTTATTATCATTTCATTTATGAAATGAGGAATGACCCTCTAACAGGCAGTTTATTACTGATCTTCAGAGCCATTTCCATACAAACAACTAATCACTTGCCTTAATATCAGATCACTCTCCTTAATTTCTAAATCACTCTTCTTACCGAAACTGGGAGAGCATTTTTAGGGGAGCGATTTTTTTGAATTTATTGATTAAGGGGATCTTTTTTCGCCTCTTCTCTAAAATACAAACAACAACAACTGGTTTTTATTAGTCCATTAGGATGGGGCTCGTCCCCCACACAATTTTGGAAATTACATCCTTGGTAAATGTAAATGAGAAACAAAATCTCATCTAATTACTTGATCTTTTAGAGGCATTACTTGCTAATATAGAGAGTAACACTTGATTATTTTTTAAAGGTATATTAGGAGGTAATTATTTACAAAATAATAATATTAATTAGCATCAAGTGTTTTATTTTAATATACAACAATGTATAGTAAATAATTACCTGTGTGATTTGAGAATTGTACAGAATTAATGGTGCTTACATCAAACCCTAAAACCTGTAATTAAAAATAAATTATTTATGACATGTAGCCTTTAGTCTCACAACTATGTTCACGGTGCAAAATGCATATGTCAGCAGTTCGAAATACGTATTTTGATTTTACAATTTGCAATTTCCATTGATTGACAATACCATTGCTGCAGTGTTAAAATACAGAATACACTTCTCAATAACACACAAAACAGTATAATAGTTATTTTGCACATTACACTTCTCCATTCTGCATTTTGCATAATAGACAAATGCATAATAGAACGTAGCATATTAGAACGTAGTGGGATCTACAACGAAGCTCATTTGCATACGAAAAAAAGTCTGGACTAGGACAGAAATTAATAATTTACGCGATCAACCTTGTCGGTAGAAGGGGGCGGTACTCATATTTAAAGACCTTCGGAAAATGATCAATGAAATGAAATTAAATGGGGTTTAACGTCCCACTGTTTTGCCATGACTGGGCTAATGAAATGGGCATACGTCATGCAGTGTGCTATGAGGGAAAATTTGCCCGGACAGCAGCGCTGTATACGACCTACGCTTGTATCGAATTGCAACAGCCATGAGATCTTTTATGTGCACGTTAATGTGTACACGGGACCTCATTTTTTAGTCCCATCCGAACAAGGTGAAAGAAAACCGATCATAGTCGGGTGGTAAAAACCTCTATTAAATGACGGGGGTGGGGGTATTTTAGGTAAACATAGGCCTACCTGTCTTAATTTGAATTCCAGATATCATGTTACTTATCACTAAAAAGCACGTTAATTTCTCTTTTCAAATATTTAAATGAAATGAAATGGGTTTAACATCTAACTGCCAAGGGATCTTTTACATGCACGCTAATGTATACATAGCACCTCAGTTTTTCATCCCATCTGAATGACTAGACAACTGTCCTGGTCAGGCCCTCCTTCCTGCACCACTAACAACGCGAAACCACATCAGAAAATCGCAATGGACTTTCTCGGCCAATGCAGGGATCGAACACGCGACCTCGAGGCTAGCGAGACAACGTCTTACCCAGGTAGCCACCGTGGCTCCCTACTTTGAAAAAAAAAAGAAAAAAAGATTCAAGTTGAAGTGAAGGAGGGGGGCGGGGTTGTGAAATAAAAATGTGGGGTTTATCGAAGGCTCGGATTAGCCATATCGACTAGCTCATGATTTCACAGAAGTCATGGACATCCAGCGAATTCCTTATTGCATGCTAGCTTGATTAGCCCTTATTGCTAGGTAAACTGTATGACTTATTGTATGGTGACTTATTGAATGCCAGCTTGAACTCTGCCCCTTCTACTGATGTTGACCTTGTAGATTAATCAGGTAAATTATTAATTTCTGTCCTAGTCCGGATTTTTTTTCCGTATGCAAATGAGCTTCGTCGTAGATCCCATATAAGGTGTATGTTCTAATATGCTAATTTCTATTATGCATTTGTCTATTATGCAAAATGCAAAATGGAGAAGTGTAATGTGAAAAATAACTATTATAATGTATTTTGTATTATTGAAAAAAGTGTATTTAACACTGTGACATTGGTATTGTGGAGCAATGGAAATTGCAAATTGTAAAACTAAAACTGAACATTGAAATAATATTGGCAACGTTATCTTTCCATAATTTATGGGTATATAGAAATAATTAAAATATGTTCTAACAATTTTAAAGTTTGGAATGGCATTACACAACTATACAGTACAGACCAGTAAATGAAAATGAAATTGAAAATTCTCAAATGTTTTTACATCTTCATGTTTAAGTTTTGCTTTACAAACAGTATCATAGCTTGATAATGACTAGAGAAGCCTAGTCGAAACGTCGCTCAGTAATAAGCAGTAATTGTATTCCATAGAATTGTGACCTGTTTACAAACAGTTCACAGAATAAAATTACTATTTCCTCAATTTGTCAACAAATTCTGTACTTTATAACAACTGTATAGTATATGTCATATGTATAACAGAGTAGTACAGCTTTCTTCTTCTTCTGCATACTTAACTGGGATCTTCTCAGATAATAAATAAGTAGTTCAATGAAAGGCATGACATGGTGATGGTACTCAGCTTAACAAGTTGACTATGTACAGTTTAAAACTGAGCGTGACGGTTAAAACTATTTACAAAAGAGGCTCTAGTCTGATAAAGTGGATCTGAACTCTTCCAGGGAGGTGGTCGACACTACTCTTGTTTTGGAGCAGTTTTCGAGGAAAAGGTTGTTGTAGGTGTCGTCTTCTCTCCTTGTAGAATCTGTGTTTGCCTCGGCTATATGAGAGTCACTGTTTCGTAGATACTTCTGATGAGGTATATCTAGTAAGCCGTGATGAATTCTATACAGCATTGAAAGCCTGTTGGTCTTCTCCCAGTGGAGGTCTTTCATCATCTTGGTGACACATCCTGGTGCTCTGCTATGGTATTTGTTGTATACGTATCTTGTGGCTCTCACTGGACTGATTCAAGTTGCTTGATGAGGGGTGTCCCAAACTGTAGATGCATACTCCACTGATGCTCTTACCATGGCTGTGTAGGTAGCTGCTTTCACTGGAGCTGTGCACTCTTTCTTTGAATTCCTCCATATGAAGACTAGAGTTATATTACTCTTGTTAGTATCATCTGTGCATGCTTATCCCACGTCAGGTTGATTGTGATAGTTACTCCAAGGTATAGCTACTGGCATGTTCAGTTTCCAGTATAATGTCCATGTAGCTTATACATGGTTACTGGACACTGAAGGTTACTACTTGACCTATACTCGGCTACTGTGCCATTTGAGAGGGTAGCCCGATCCACCCAAATCCACCATTATTTCAACTTATGAGACAATAATTCATATCGATATTTGATTATGTATTGTTCTTTATGCCAATTTGTCATTTCTATTTTACAATCGTTACGTTTTTGTGTCAAAATGCCCCCGAAATGCAATTTCCAAGCAAGTTTGGAAGTTGTAACTAAATCCACCATTATTTCAACTCGTATATCACAATAATTTATATCGATATTTGACAATATACCGTTTAATATTATGCTAAATTGTCATTTTTAATTTAAAATCTTAACATTTTTGTATCAAAGGGACACAACTCATGTTTTACCTGGAATCGCTTGCATGGAAAATTAAATTTTGACAGGCATTTTTGAAGCAAAAACATTACAATTTTAAATTAAAAATACCAATTTGGCATGTATAAGAGTATGCTATATTATCAAATATAGATATAAATTATTAGTATATGAGTAATGGTAGATTTGGGGGTGTTTCGGTAGGTATATATTTGGGTAAATCGTGCTACCGGTTTGAGGTGCTAGCTAGATCTATTTATTTGTTAAGGCCAACTCAATTTTTGTCAACGTCACTATAAGATGTAAATAAGGTTAGGGCACATGATTGTAGGTTAGGGTAAGCGTTAGGGCTAGGTCCAGGGTTAGGGTTAGGGTTGGGATTAGCTCTAGCCCTGTTCACATCTCGTGACCTTTGACCAAACTTGAAATTGGTCTTATCAAATTGAAATAGATCTAACCCGGTTTGAGACTCTGTTTGAGACTCTGTTAGTATTACGATAGTTATTACCTGAAGTGGAAATGTTGCACTTTTATTACCAACATAACCATAGACCACTGTACTTTGAATTGACAACACACTACATTCTTCTTCTGACATGTTGTACGAATGACACTTTAATTATTTCACCAAAAACATCTTGTTGTAAGTTATACGTGAACTGTCTTCTCTACTTCCAGGTCAATATTATATATATATTTATCACGTGATATCAACAGTGACAGAGGTCACGTGAGCACCAAAATAGGTCGGGCTAATTTTCTGTAGGAAAAAGGTAAACGTTTTTGAAAGAGGTATAATTAAGGTCCATGAATTTACGAAAAGATAATTGCATGTCAGGAAAATGGGAAAGCCAGTGCGAGACTAGATATATATATCATTCTGATAATATCTATTATATAGTTGTCATCCTTTGCATCTTGACTTTGAAACAATAGTTCAAGAGTGCAGGTCAGCGGTCGATCGCTGACCCATAGGTGTGACCTATATTCAATTGAGGGACTTTGGTCGAATTCCGGAGTGCTACCTGGCAAACAGGTAGTAAAGTATACTTTAGTAACGTTGTCTGATAGAGGCTTAGACATTGTTAGCATTAAAACTTCTGCAAAAAAATAAGTAAGTGTAACTGATTTAAATTACATTTTATTTATTAAGAACTTGTTTATAAATATTTAAAACGGGGATCACGTGGCTAAGTGGGTAAGATCTGCTGGCTCGCTAGCCAGGTCGGATGTCAGTGATGCCTGACAAGGACAGCTGTCAAGTCGTTTCGGATGGGACGAAAAACTGAGACCCCATGTACTGGCGTGCATGTAAAAGATTCCTTGACAGTTGTAATTTGACATAAGAGTAGGCTGTAGTACCGCTGTCCGGGCACAATTTCCCTCATAGCAGTAGGATGGTGTATGCCCGTCTTCATTAGCCCAGTTCGGAGCAGAACAGTAGGACGTTAAACCCCATTTCATTTGTTTATATAAACATATTCCTATAAAATATTATTGTGAATTTATAGTGGACATTTTTTACTCACATATCAGGCCATGGCATGCAGAGATCAATCTTGTTTCTATAATTGAGGTTGAATGCTCAAACTAAAGTGTAGATAGTGAGTACGTGTCTTGACTGCATGAGTTTTATGATGAGCATTTTCTGCTTAAAAGAGCTAAATCGTTAATATTTGGGACCTAGAATTTGACACAAATGGGTCTCAATGCATATGATAATGTAATTTGTACGGAAGACCATTAGGGTCAATCAAATGAAAAAAAATATTCTGATTGTCTTGTAATTACAAGATGGCATATCTTGTTATTACAAGATAGCTATCTTGTAATTACAAGATAACCATTTTATATAACTATCTTGTAACAAGATAGCCTATCTTGTAATTACAAAATAGCCTATAGCCTATCTTGTAATTACAAGATCACAATGCTTCCAGTGCTACCTGGCAAGTAGGTAGTTTTTTTTCTGTTGTATGTACATGTATAAGTGGCTCGGGTAATCTAATTTAGGCCTAACTACATGTAATTGAAATTAAGTTTGCAAGTCTGGCATGTATTTAATGTGTGAGCTGTCGTGTACATGGTAGGCCCAGTGGATTGTTCCGTTTGTATAGCAATATACTCAATAATAATAGTCATAGGATTCACAGATGGTACTTAGAATGGGGGGGGTGACAGTCAATAGGTCGTCTGGGCTTATTGGTTGTCCCATCTTGGTTGTTTGTTTGGTAATGAGGATTAATTACATTTAGGATATTCTGGAATATATCTGGACTCATCCTCATATAACCTATTTTCATAATTTCATGCTCTCCTTAAAGATACTTTCCTGCGTACAAACTGTGTGATTTGATGATATATTTGGACTAAATACTTATTCAAACTACTTAATCTATCAAAAATTTATCGTACATATTGAGACCTAAGTAAATTCTTAATTATTTACTGTCAACTACTCTTTCCGCAGTTTAATTACAGAGTCTTTTAAACATTGACACCCCTTGATGGTTCCAAAACCGCCTAACCATTTGATCAAGACATAACAACCACTCCACAGTCAAGCTAGTACGCAATAAGCTGGCAGACAGCTGTCGGGTTGCCAGTTAGTGATACCCTGACATTTTTGCCCAGTGCTTGTCCCATGGGTGTTTTTCGGGTAATCCAGTATTTTTTCCAGTAAGATTGGGTGTCTATACTTTCCATATGTACCAAATTTGCCATACTTTTAATTGAAATAACCACCCAATAAATACTTTCGGGACAATGTATCTTTAAAGTCACAGAATGCCATTTACATTTTTCAGAGAATTGGAAAATCCAAGCCTGAATGTACAACAATTAAAACGAACGAAAACAAAACGGACAAATATATGATTTTTTTTTTTAGCTAAATATACGTCAGTGGGTTCTTATTAAAAGGAGTATGGCTCTATTTTTTGGGAACCTTGAAGTATACAAAAATAGTTATAAAAGCACATATGCCCCAAAAAATTATTTTCGGGTTACAGATGGTGGTGCCGGTCGTCTGCAAGAGGCGAAGGTGCAGAGTTTATCGTGTAGGACCCCCCTCCCCTCCTTTGAAAGATAATTTGTAAAATTTGATGGCCGCAGACACGTTTTCCTTGCGTGAATGGTGATAGTGGGATATTGGATTAAGACGGTTGTATTAACATCTTCTATTTCTATGTAACACCTCACTGGTTTACGCAAATAAAATTAATTGTCAGACCGTTTATGCCCCTATATTTAAAGATAAAATAGATATTAGAGTATTGTCCTTGTTGAATAAGTATGCCAATAATAATATACCGTATATACTCTTTAAAAAAAGTAGGGGATATTGAAATGCAAATAACTATGCAGGTTGTGATATGATAAATAGTCATGGACACTTGACATGCTTTTTTAAGAGTATGTTCACAGATGAAGAACTTATCGCCCCAACAGAACAACTGAGCTGCACATGCGACACGCAATAGCGCCATACACATGGGAAGGTTCATTGTCAAATTTGACACTTCAAGGAATGGTTGATGAAAACTGCTGGGTGCTGGTTTATTATATCCATGTTTGGTTTCCTATCAGTTCTTGCATAAGATTTACTGTTTAGGGTAACTTTTCTTTAGTGTGTTAAGTTTAATTTGATCGGGAGACGTGTTCGTCGAAGTCAACATCAACCGACAATACTGCAAGAATTGACCATGGCAATGCAAGAGGAGTGGGTCAGATTGCCCCAAATCCTGATTGGACGGTTGATTAGGAGCATGCCACGACCAATTGCTGAATGTCTGAGGATTGGTGGAGCAATTACTCATTATTAAGACAAAAATCAAAAACGTCCATTTTCACTTTCGACTGTGTATCTCTTTGCGAGTGAAATGGGGCCATCAGATAAGCCACCCATATGAACTGTTTATGTTCATGTGTAGGCAATTGGCCTGTTATTACCATACACTGGTTACCTCTAATAAAAACATCAGTGCATTTCTGCAGTTTTGTATTTTTTCTGAATATCCCCTACTTTTTTTGAAGAGTATAATATAAAGAAGATGATGAGTGAAAATGTATACATATGTATAAGATCAACGATAAATAAATTCATTATTAATACATTTGGAGCATGACATGATTTTTAAATTTTTGTAATAACCAGAAGCCTTTATTGAAGGGTGTTTCACGTTTTACTGAGTGTCCTTTTATCAAGATAAATCTAGAAATATCAGATAAATCTATACATAAAATGGTCCCGTGATGAATAGGCATACAAGCTCGATGAATGTTTGAAAATTTATCTGCAACAAAAGCGTTTTCCTGCTAGACAAGCCCATGAATACAGATACCTCAATGTGGTCCAATATAGAGTGCCTTAGGTGATTTACCTAAATCTCATTTCCCAAACAACCTATCAATCTTCGCGCTTCCTGAGAAAAAGTTGAAAATTTAACCGCAACAAATGCGTTTTTCTGCTATTTTAGCCGGTGATTTAAGCAACTTCAAAGTTTCCAGTCGGTTTTCAACTGAAATCCCACTCACATTCGACCTGAATTCCAACCACCCAATCAGACTGTTGCAGCTGCATTCACAAACCAGCGGCTGCCAGGCAGGATACGCTGCAAGAGATGGATAGAGAACAAGCTAAAAACAAAAATGATTTTTTGGTACAATCAGGGGCCATAATCAAGAAAGTTATGGTCTGAAATGCACAAAATTTAATATCGAACGGGACTGAGATTTTGGGAATATAAACGTGGTTAATGTAGTATCTGATACTCGTGCAGTAGATCATGCTCAACTTTTTGAAAGCTTTCAATATTTTAATTCTGTCAAAAAAGATGAACTTAAAAATATTATTATGCAATCAAAACTGACATCATGTGCATTAGACCCCATCCCAACCAGTCTTTTCATTCAAGTCTTAGATGTTCTCCTTCCATTATTAACCAAAATAGTCAATACCTTCATGAAGCTTGAAATTGTGCCTCAGTCGTTTAAACATGCAATTATAAAACCTCTTCTCAAAAAGCCATCATTGGACCCGGAGCTATTAAAAAACTATCCTCTAGTTTCAAACCTACCTTTCATTTCAAAAATTCTTGAAAAGGTCATCAAAATGAAATTGGTTAGCTATTTGGATAGAAGTAATCTGTGGGACAAATTTCAATCTGCATATCGGACTGCACACAGTACAGAAACTGCCTTAAATTGTGTTTTAAATGCAGCTAAGGAATCTGTCGACAAAGGTAAGGTGTCAATTTTGGTACTACTAGATCTGTCAGCTGCCTTTGATACGATAGACCGTAGGAAACTATTACAGCATCTCGAGTTTGAATATGGAACTAGTTCCACTGTTTTAAACTGGTGCTTATCATACTTGTCTCAAAGATCATAATCTTTGTATTACATACTTATGCACAATTTGCGTAGAAAGAGCGGCCATTTTGTCGGCAGTTTCATTTTGATTTTCCCGAAATTCGAATTCAACTTTCATTATGGTGGAATGGTAATATATCTAAACGGTTTTTAAAATCGGAAAAAAAATTGTGACCTCTAGAGAATCCACAAGCTAATTATGCGATTTTCCAAACAATCATGGGCCAGGAAGTTACGTTCGGATATGTGTGATTACCACAAGGAACCAAGATCTTTGTGATATAAACATAAAGTTTCATCAAAATAAGATAAAAATTGTAGCCTCTAGAGGGTCCACAACCTTGATATACCATATTTTTACATTATTTGCGTACAAGGGGCAGTCATTATGTCTGTCAGTTTTAATACGATTTTCCCAAAATTTGAGCTGTGATATTTTCACACGTTTTTTTTTATATCAGATAAAAATTGGGACCTCTATAGGGAATACAAGTTCAAAACGCGATTTTTCGTACAATCAAGGTCCATAATTCAGGAAGTTACGATTCAATATGCGCGAATATCGAAAGGAACCAAGATCTTTGGGTTATAAACAAGCATGTTAAGTTTCATCAAAATCGGATCAAAATTGTGACCTCTAGAATGTCCACAACCTTGATATACCAGATGTTTACACTATTTGCGAACAAGGGGCGGCTATTTTGTCTGACAGTTTTGGTCCAATTTTCACAAAATTCGAACTCAACCATCATTAGGGTGTAACGGTGATATACTGAAACGTTTTGTTTTTTTAAATCGGATAAAAATTGTGACCTAGAGGGACAACAAGCTAAAAGCGTGATTTTTCGTACAATCAGGGGGCCATAATTCAGGAAGTTACGATCCGATATGCGAGAATATCGAAAGGAACCAAGATCTTTGGGATATAAACATGCATTTCAAGTTTCATCAAAATCGGATGAAAATTGTGACCTCTACAGGGTCCTCATAGAGTTTTTCTCAAAACCCTTTCCCTGTGTCCCTTATCTATCAAATAATTCACTGCTACCAGTTATGACCAGTTAAAACAAGCTGTTGCCATGCACAATACAGCCGTAATTATGGTGCAGCAGTGATATATTGAAACGGTTTTGACAATCAAATAGCAACTGTGAGGTCTAAAGGGTCCCCAAGCTAAAAATGTCGAGATCTTTCGGTTATAAACATACATTGTCAGTTTCAACAAAATCGTATAAAAATTGTGACCTCAAGAGTGTCCACAACTTTGGAATTTTTAGACATATATTTGTCAAATTTCAGCATTGCAGGAAACAACAATCGAATGTGTTTGCATGGTAAGGGATTTGGAAAATAAATAAAATTTCACTTCATTGCTGAGTAATTTCATATGCCAGAAAGTGTCTCTATATCCCCAGGAGCTTCTGGGGCGTAGGCGGCCCCTGGACACTTGCCTCAAGTCCTAGGATGGTACCCCCCCCCCCCCCCCAAAATCAAGAATTCCTTCCGCCGGCCCTGAGAAGCCCATCTTTTCTCGGTAAGATCACAACATCAATGTGATTTAATTTGACAAATGATTCATATTTTCAATGTCCAAGACTTTGGATGATATTGAGGTATAGACTTAGCTACTTTAAAGATCATATACACTCCTGTTAATTAATGATCTGTTGTAATTACTACATATTCACAAGTGTGTGATTTCCCGACATGGTCTTCACATATATTCTCGCAGTGTGAAAAAGAAATAAACCATGGACATAATCAAAAATATGTATATATGCATCTTATCTATGACAAAATTCACAGATTTATGTAGTTTAGTTCAAGTGTGAGTTGATTTACTGTACTGGGTAGCCTACTACAATTAATTTGAGCGCCTCAATTTTTACAGTTCATAGCTCATTTGTCATTCATTTACAGTGAACAGCTACATCATAAATTGAACTTAGGTTTAATTTATCCAAATGAGTTGGAGTGAGGAGGGGGGAATTGAACTATTTAATGATATGTTATATATTTCACAGCCAGTTTCAAGCGGCTAAATAATGAGGTCTGTGAAATTATAGACAGCAGAGAACGCAAGGAAACTCGCCAGCCGCTGACTCCTATGAGACCCCTGTATATCCACCATTTGCTGGCGACTATCTTGCATAATACACTTGAAGTTCTGTTCAATGCTTGTAAAAGTGTAACAAAACCCACCAGAGGTTTAATATACTGTAGAACTGTCCCCACATCATTGGCTGTAATAAAATACATATAACATCCACCTACCACAAGACTTTTTGTTGTTGATTCTTTACTTTTGCACCTTACAAAAAAGTGGAATATTGCGGGCTCCATTAAAATTCAATATGCATTTTATGTTGACCCCATTCAGGTAACAGGAGCCACGGTGTGTCAGTGAGTAAGACACTTGCTAGCTTATCAGAAGGTCTCAGATTTGATCCACGTGTTGGAAGATAAAGTTCCTCTGGATTTTTCTATTTGGTTTTCTCTTCCTTGTTAGTGGTGCAGGATGGAGAGCCTCACAAGGACAGTGTCCAGTCGTTCAAATTGGACGAAAAACCGAGGTTCCTTGTACACATTGGCGTGCATGTTAAAGATCCCATGACAGTTGAAATTCGAAATAAGATTAGGCTGTAGTGCCACTGTCAGGGCAAAATTTCCATCACAGTGTATGGCATTAAACCCCATTTCATTTAATTCTGTTTCCGTTCAGATAATATTTAGTTCTTGTCTCACAGTAATACTTTTGTTTTTATTTAGATATAAAAGTTGAACAACATGGGAAGATTAGATGGGAAGACAGTAGTTTTAACAGCAGCAGCTCAAGGTATTGGTAGAGCATCAGCTGAGGTATGAAATAAAACTCTGAATTGCCAAAACAGTCTACCGGTATAATATACAAATGTGGGAAATTCTTCTTCTTTTAATCTCATCACATGATTATATTAAAGGCAAAATATTGTGAACCATATACAGTGGACTCTGTCACATCCAATGTCTGATCACTCCGGATTGCTGTGACATCCGACATGATTTTCATGTCCCGATTTATTTCCTTATTACTTCAGCCAAAAAATTACTGGTAAATCCAGATTCTGTATGTTCCGGATTACGACATCAATCAGCCATCCCGTCACATAATTTCCATTGAATCAACACCGTATAATCCGTACTTCAAACGGTGGGTGTGAAGCATCAAATTATCAGTGAGATTAAAACTCAATGGGTGTGAAGCCAGAAAAGATTAACAAGCAATCACCAATCAATTATTGGTGAGATTAAAACTCGCAAGCTCCGATCCGTGTTGATTACTTGGATAATGATATAAATTCTTTCTTGATTATTTTACAATTTATAATCTCTTGTAAGAGTGCGCTTGGTAATTGATTTTAGTTACTCATTTCAAATACCGCGACATTATATAAAAATTGCCACGATTGAAGAATCATTATACATTATTGTATTCAAAATGTCTGAACGTCCTGCAAAGCGTGCCCGAACAGATTTGACATTAGATGTAAAACGGCAACTTATAGCAGATTTCGAGAAAGTTCCACGACCTGCGCAGAAGGAATTAGCCGTTAAACATACATTATGCACGAGCTAAATCTGCCTATTGCAGGTCTTTCTTTAGGCCCGAAATGTTATCTAAATTATTAATTAGACATTAATTAACCTATCCAGATCATAATCAACTCTAGATGGCATCGCTAGCCTGCGATCTTTAGTGGATTGTGAGCTGATTTACTGCATAACTTTCCTTCTCGATTAAATAGATAATCAAGACTATGCTGTTTATCGTACTGACTTTAGTAATGATGACCGAGGCTAGGCAGAAATTTCATTCGTTTAGTTTTCGGTTCATAGTGGATCAATTTGAATGAAATTTTCAGCAAATTGCCTTTACGTTATCTAGTTTTTAACTATTATAGTGAGAACTTCCAACTTGTTATCGAATCTCCCATAATGTATCTTTAAGTATTCAATTGGCCGAGCTACAGTGTCAGACATATTAAAGCGTAAAGATGAATTTAAACAGAAGTTTGCCGATAATTTAAACTGCAGTAAGAAACAATTGTTATTGTTAATTATTTAATGTAATAAAATTTTGAAAGTACAGAAAGGTTTATCATTTTTAAAGGGAATAGCATTCTGGTGATTCGAAGCTACAATATGAAAATACTTCCGATTTTCTTAGTTACAGTATTTCCGGTTTTGGAGAAAGCTCGGAATTCCGACACACTGTGTGATCCGAAATATTGTAACGATCCCGTACGATGTCGGATGTGACAGAGTCCACTGTACACACACTATAAAGTAATCCACAAAAATACCATATTGGTCCAATCATCAATCATATTAGAAGTTAAAGCTGTCTGGATGGACGATCAGTGTGCTTAATTGTTTTTTTGTACTTCTGTATTTCCAACGATTACTCACTAGTTTGATACTAACAAATTTTGCATTTCAAAAACTAGATAAACTCATTCAACAGTTGGCCAAACTTTAGTACCCCTGTAAAAAATTCATGGCTATGCCACTGCAATAAACAAACCCATCATGAAACTCAAGATTTTTTTAATACATGGCTTTTTATACGCCTATTGATTTTCAATGATTTCTGATAAAAACTGCCGGAGTTATGGCCCTTGATCAGTAAAAACGTCTTGTGGACGCTCTGGAGGCTAAAGTTGATATCTTGTGGACGCTCTAGACAGTTTATATCTGTTTGACTTGAAATTTATAGACAGTGTTTAAGGCAGTGGTTCTCAACCTTTTTTTGCCAACGGCACACCTTGGAACACACGAAAAAATATCAACACACCTTCGCTAAATATATATGAAAAATATTTGAATTTTACAAAATAAAAACATGGTAAGTCAGATGGCATACAACCGTAGACACAGACTAGTCATAGACAAATAGAATGACTCAAACGAAATAAAGAAAAACACAGCTATGACCTTACCAGTAGACACCATAGAATACGCAATTGGGATCACACGGTTTTTCGCATTTTCTTAGTGTGCCGTCCAAAATTTTGCGGCACACTTAGGAAGATCTCGCGGCACACTGGATGAGAATCACTGGTTTAAGGTCATGAGAGGAAGAAGCTTATCAATTTTCAACGATTTCCAGTGATTATAGCAATTTATAATAAATGTTTTGTATGCTAAATATTAGAATAGGGCAGAACTAGAAGCCAAATGGGTTGTTACTCGTAATCAGATTTTAGTGTGTTGTAAATGTTTTCATTTCTGACAGAAGAAAAAAATATGTGACAACCCTTGTTGACTCCCCGGACGACTTAGCTGCTGTGGGTGTATGTTTTGTTGCCTGGCAACCTATCTTTTATTAACTTCCTGCCTTCTTGGTGGTATTACTTTGAAACATGAGGAGTGAAATCCTTGGCATTGGGTTTATTATTGTACGTATGATTTTACCAATGTTGGATTGTCAAGCTCCAGCCTATGTTTATTTATTATTTATGTTAAATTGTAGGCTTTTGCAAGAGAAGGTGCCAGGGTTATTGCTACTGACATTAATGTAGAAAAATTAAAAGAATTAGATTCCATTAAAGGTAAAGTAATGACATGTCCATTCATATTCTATATTTAACAGCTACTGTGATCTACTTTTAGAAAAATTCTAGATGCCTCATATTCAAGCTCTACCCTTAATGTAGACCTATTTTCATTATAGGTCATGTGTTAACTAGTCTGTAACTTATTACCACTATCTTTGGTGCCACATCTGGCTGAATATCATACACATAAGATGACTTTTTTAAATTAAATTTATCAGATTCTTGGCAAAAACAATCAAGAGAATTACTCTGATAATGCTGCTATACTGTGGGCCATTTTCAATCAGTGGGTTAATTAGAATGGGAGTCCATAAATGCTGCTGCCCTGGCAGAATACGTATGATGAGAAATATTATATATTGGAATTTAACAAGCTGAAATAAAAACATTTGGTGAATATTTGAAATATTATAAAGTAAGATGTTAGTTAAACCCCATTTCATTTCAATCATGTCATGAGTGATTTTCTTAATTGAAATGAGAGGATGTCTAAACTGGTCACCATCACTCTTATCATAAACAGTCTGTATACACAGATCACTTACCATTTCTACAGGTTATCATGGTCCTATAGTCAAATACATTAATTTCTCAATGAAGATTCTCAAACTTCACAAACAAAATGCGCTATAACCAGAGCCAATGCTAACAACCATCTGACAGGTCCATGTCACTCGCTACCATAAACCATAATGCAATAGTCTTTAAGTCAAATAATCAGGTCCAAATCAGGAAAGGGATATAAAAGACACTCAAGTTATAAGAAATCAACCTACTTGAAGCTAGTTACCACTACTGAGGCTTTCTATTTGGAAATCCCAGACACGTCACTCTGTCCTGTTACGAGATACACCTGATTTATTTGCCAAGTGTTATCAAGGAGTCTGGGATTGCTGAACAATTACTCCTATAATCTGGAGTTAAAAGATATTCTTGTTTTAGAAAATTGCAATGAAATCTTGACTGTTAAGGTGACCCAGAAGACAACGGGCATGGTGAGTATATTGTTCATTATAATATTTGTTTTCATCTTTAAGGAATTGAAACTTATAAACTAGATGTAACTAATATGGCTGAAATAGAATCACTAGCTACAAAGATAGATATTGTAGACGTGTTATTTAACTGTGCAGGGTAAGTACAAATACAGATTAATGTTGAAGTAGAAGTTCTCTGTCCTCCTTGCACAGTGATTGCACAAAGAAATATTGTCAATCTCAAATTGTATAGAGAATAGGTTTATATGAATAATCAGTTGCCAACAGAATTCTTCATTCTACAATGTACCATTATTTGTTTATTTTTTTATTCTACATTGTATTTACTACTAAGTTAAGGTTAAACATACTTTCCTATATTCAGTATGAAACAATACTGCAGGCCCAGTGAAAATATTTATATTATCATATGATATATTAATATGATAAAACTGTAATTATATTTGATAGATATGTACACAATGGCACTTTATTAGAAACAGATGAAAAAGGTTGGGATATGTCATTTGATATTAATGTCAAGAGTATGTATAGAATGTGTAAAGCCTTTATACCTAAAGTAAGTAGAAAAAAATACGTTTTCTGGTACTAACTTCTTTAATTTGAAAATCAACGGGGTTTCAATATTCATACAAAAGGACATTCTCAATTGATATAATGAATCGATGAAATAATGAAAGTACCGGTACTCTAAGTATAAGTTCAAAAAATTTTCTGTACTTTCCAAAATGTCCCCATCCAGTACTTGATTCTTTTTATTACTAAGAATTTCTATAAGATGTTTCCAAACCCTCTTTTTTGACACATCAATATTACATTAAAATTTGAGTATAATAATATGTTTTTCCCAGGGTTTTGTATTAAAGCGATAGGGTGGGGTGGGGTGGGGTGACTTTGTGGACAGTGCTTGAATTATTAAGTAAAGTACAGTTTTGATCTTTTGTACATTGAACAGCTCATTTCACAAACTAGGGTTAAACTAAATAAGAACTTTGACCTCTTCATATGTAGGTATATCAATTCAAAATGCTGCCTTGTCTTTCTAACTGGTGTATTTTTTTTTTTCAACTATGTTAATAGATGATATCAAGAGGAGAACCAGCTTGTATTATAAATATGTCTTCTGTTGCTTCTAGTATCAAAGGTAAACAACATAAAACCATTTTAACAAAATATTTTAACAGAGAGAAAAACAAGGTTTAACGTCCCTAAACTGTGTCATTTCGAAACTAACATTATGGTTCAATTTTATTTCAATAATTGAATTGTGCATATAGGGGTCTTTAGCAGCGGGAGGACACAGTGGGGAAAAATGACAACAATGGGCAGGTGTCCTTACTCCTTGTCATGAACAAGTTGGGAATCAAAACCATGCCAGTTGACTCGATGACAAACCTTATGACCTAAAGCCAACATGTTAGACTATTTGGCCACCCATCCCCTCTTCAAAGTAGGATAGTGAACTGTACCCAGTACAACATATATTTTCTTATCTTGTTGCGTTGATTGTATTTTCTTGACATGTGTTATTGTATGTCTTATTGTTTTATATATATTATTCTTGTTTTAAACATATAAACTGAAGCAGACATTTTATGAGTGTGAGTATTACTGAAGTGAACTTTAAATGATTTGATTCAGGTGTTCCTAATCGTTGTGTGTACAGTACAACAAAAGCTGCTGTGATTGGTCTAACTAAATCTATAGCTGCTGATTATTGTGAGAAGAAAATCCGTTGTAACTGTGTCTGTCCTGGTAAATAAAATCTCAATTATTTGTAAACTACTATGTCATCACCCATGTCTGTCTGTTGGTCTGTCCACAATTGGCATTTGAACGTGGTAGAGGCCAACAATTTGGGGGGGGGGGGTCAAATTTATTGTGAAGCAGTAGGATCAAGAGAGAAGGAGCCCTATCGATATTCAGCATTCTGAGCTATTTTGTTGGTCAAGAGTTACCCTGTTTTTCTGTGTAACACCTTGTGACCTCAATAGAGGATACAGTTTTACCAGATATTTTTTCAAATTTGGTGTGAAGCATAGATATCATGAGAGGACAAAACCCTATCCACTTTCAGTTTTCAGCCTGGATGAATCCTATTGATTTTCAAATTTATTGTGAAGTATTTGGATCAGAGAGGATGAACCAGAGATCTTAATCGACACAAAACAAGCTTGCTGATTATTCAGAACAGGTCCAGTAAGTTGCGTCTGTGAAAATAAGCCGAGTGGCGAACAAAGACGATCTCGGCATGCATAGTCATTGTCAATCTCGGGATTCGTGCTGTCTTTGACGCTCTATGTGATCCTAGATAGATATTACAATAATAATTTAGATCACACATTTGATAGTTTCTCCGACCAGTTGTTAGTTAGATTTAAATGGTCATTGAAATAATCCCCTGTTACTTAGAACACCAAATATTAATAATAATTTTCACATGCCAAATCCTGATGACACAATTGCTTGTGGATGCTCCCTAGAGGCTAAAGTTATTATCTGGTTGAGTTTAAATTCATACTCAGTGTTTATGGTCATTAGTCAGAGCATCCTATTGATTTTCAAAGATTTCCAGTTAATTACTGCCAGAGTTATGGCCCCTGATCACTTAGAAAAATCTTGTGGATGTCTATAGGTTAAAGTTAAATCCGATTGGTTTCAAATTTATATACAGTGTTTAAGGTCATGAGATGAAGCAACCTTTTGATTTTCAGAGTTATGGCCCTTGAAATCTTGTGGATTTTAGGGTTTTTATTACTCAGAAAAGAAAAAATATGCGCCAACCCTTGTTGATGACTTGGACGACCTAGCTGTTGTGGGCATATGTTTCATTGCATGGCAACCTACCTTTTATTTTATGCACATGCTGACAGAGGCTTAATTTTGAAACTATTGACCTTACTATTGAAGGTTATTTACGAATGAATAACAACTTTGCAAGTTGTGTGGTAGACAAAAATATTGTATTTAATATGAAGAAATGCCATTGTGCCATATCAGTTTATTTTGGCTAAGGCATTTTTTGATACTGACTTAGTAGAAAAATCCTAATTTTGATCAACTGATGAACTATATATATCTTAATTCGGCTACAGCATTTTCTTCAAGAATCTTTCGAATCTCAATAATACTGACTAAAAAACAAAATTGTGTTTATTGTTTATTGCCAGTATCAGAAAATGCTGTAGCCAAAATAAGCTGATACGGCGCCGTGGCATTTCTTCATAACACAATTTGTAGTCCTTTGTCCATCACGTAACGGTCACGTAACTTGCAAAAGTCTTTATTCATTCGTCGATGATAGACAAACGGCACAATGATCACGTGACAACCATAACTGAAATTGCTATAAAATAAAATTCTGTACGACTATGATATAGCCTTCAATAATATAAATATAAAAAATTAAGCCTCTGTCAGTAGTGTATAAAATAAAAAATCATAACGGTAAATGCTGTTATTGACTGGTTTATTGACATAATTCCAACCGATATGTCACATGGAATTCGGCAATGGAGATTCTGTCGGGAAAATATCCACTGTTCTCTCTCCATGTTTATATGAAGGTTTAAATTTACCTTACAACTGGTCAGTAAATACATCAATGTATTATCCAGTTATTATTTTAATATCTATCTGTACCCGAAATTCACATGGACGGAGCGTGGAAGATGCACAATTCGGAAACCATGTGGAGATGTCTTCAATGACCATGTGGCTTATTTTACTGAACATATTATGAATAATCAGCAAGCTTGTTTTGTTTATTTTACCAGATTATCAAAATCACCGTTAAATATGCTAATTACTCGGATTATGAACCACATATGGCTGATTCTCACTAAGGTATGACTGTTGTAGCCGACAAGCAAGTTGATTGTCTTCTTAATTAACAAGTAATAATTAACCTGTTGTAATTTAGCCAAAAGTAGAATGATTATTTACGATACCATAGTGGCCAATTCATTGTTTTACCAATCAGCTTGAATAAACATCAATCGGCTAAAGCCGACAAAATACAGCCCCATGATGAACACTGACCCTGTCTGACATTCAATAGTCGGACTCAACAATTCTCTATTTGTTATTATTTTTTGTGATGATCACATATATTATCCTATTCAGAATATGACAACAAATCACCAAGAATTATTTTTGTTTGGTTATATTAAAGATGCCTTCCCGCGTACAAACTCCATGAGTGATTTGATGAATTATTTGGACTAAAAACCTATTCAAACTAATTAAATGTATCAAAAATTGCTTCAGATCCTCTTAAAACATTGTATTCGTGAGGAAATTACCCAAGATATAAAAACTTGTATGTTTGTCATGTAACTTGATTGAGGGAGAGCCTATTTTCAGAATGTATTTGTTGCTACTTACTGTCCACTTGCCATACATATTGAAGCCTAAGTAAATTCTTGGATTACTTCTGCCAACTACTTTTTCCACTGTTAATTGCAAAGTTTTTTTAATGTTTAAACCCCTCACTGTTTCCAAAATTGCCTAACCATTCGATCAAGAAATAACAAGTGCTCCCAAAATCAGGCTGGCAGACAATAACCGTCGGATTGCCAGTTAGTGATACCCTGACATTTTTGCCCAGTGCTTGCCTCGTGGTTGTTTTTCAGGGAATCCTGTATTTTTCTAGTAAAATTGGGCATCTCTACTTTCCAATTTTACCAAATTTGCCATACTTTTATTGGAAATAACTACCGTATAAAAACATGTTTGTGAGAATGTATCTTTAAAGGAAATGAAATGAAATGGGGTTGAATGTCCTACTGTTCTGCTCCTAACCTGGGCTAACGAAGACGGGCATACAGTGTGCTATGAGGGAAATTTTGCCCGGGCAGCGGCTCTACAGCCTACTCTTATATCGAATTCCAACTGCCAAGGGAGCTTTTACGTGCACGCCAATGTGTACACGGGACCTCAGTTTATCGTCCCATCCAAACTACTAGACAGCTGTCCTTGTCAGGCCCTCCGTCCTGCATCACTGACAAGGGGAAACCACGCAGGAAAATCGGGATGAACTTTCTCGACCAATGCAGGGATCAAACACCCGACCTCCAGGCTAGCGAGCCAGCGTCTTACCCACTTAGCCACGTGATCCCCATTATCTTTAAAGGGAATGGGAGCTATCTTTAAAGGGAATAGGAGCTTATAATTGAACTCATTTGACCAAATTCTGACCGGTTTGTTTCAAAATGGATTAGGAACCCTGGTATGAACCCTGTTGATATTACATGTCTAGAAAACCTTGTGGACATGTAGAGATTAGATTTCTTGAAGGTATAAAGACATCCAAATTTTCCTTTCAGATAAGGTCCTGTCTATGGTTATCATTTTATTCAAGACATATAGCTGCTGTCAGGGAATATTTCTATGCTTTGCGTGGCTATCTTATTCATCCTCCTCCATATATTATCATCTGAGGGGAGGTAAATGATGAAATAGGATAAATTTACATTATGGTCCATAATGTCTATGAAATTTATAGATAGTCAGTGCTGTTTGCTGTGCTACATTATTTTTAATTTCATAGGAAATTGCTTTTATCCAAAAGATTGAATTTTCACAATTCATAATTCCGTAATTATGAAGATAATTTGAAATCCTTAGTAAATCACTCTTGTAATTTAAGGTAATATTTTCAGGCACTGTTGATACACCATCACTAACTGGTAGAATTAATGCCTTAGAGGATCCAGAAAAGGTATTATTATTCAAATATTGGAAAGGTTATTTATTGTTTTGGCTAGAAATAAACATTGTTATATATATTATGTCAATGTATATGTGGCTGCACAAGAAAACCTGTCGGATGTTGTCCTGGCTCAAGTCGAGATAATTTTTTATGCCAAAATACAATGTTAACCATTAGGTCAATTTTCCATTCTTAACATAAATAAACATTTACTTATTAAAATACAAAGTTATGAAACAGAAAAATGATTTTAAATACATTTATTCTGAAATATTCTGAACCGTCTTAGACTTGCAGAACGGTGCCAATGCCTCAAAGTCCATAACAATATAATGTCAGCCTATTTTGTCTGTGTAACACGTCTTGCTCAAGTTAATTGAAGTGGTCGCAAGATATGCCATGAACGGACTAATGCTCTTGACTGGCACGGGGTATACTATATACCGGAAAACACCATGTTATACTGAATACCGGAATACACCGGAAAAACACTAAATACAGGAAAACACACTAAATACCGAAAAACACCCTAAATAGGTAGGTAACCCGGAGAAGGGCTATACTATAAATTTTATTGACAAAATGGAAAAGCATGTCATTTAGGTTACATATCGTGGGTCTCCGCTTGAAACCTCGTATAACGAAAAAATGCGGAAAATTAGTAAATGTTTTGATTCATGAACATTTTCAAGTGAAAATATTTATTTATTCTAAAATATAGTCGAAAAATGTTATATACATGTTTTTTATTCTAGAAAGAAGACCAATTCTTCGGGTACGTGTTTTTTGATCAACGAAAGTTTAAATACAAGTTTAACAAAAACAATGTTAAAATAATTAGTTTTGAGCTTTCGAAATTTTATAAATAATGGAATAATGTAATAATTTCATGTGTCTGATATATTTCATATGACAATTATTTAATTTTGTAATAACGAGAATTTTCAGATGGGTCGTGATTTTGGAAAACTGAAAAGTACAGTTCCCGATACAATGCCAAAGGGCTAATATGAGTAGGACACCGGGATCTGCAGTGGCTCAGTGAGTAAGGCACTGGTTCGCAAACCATGGCGTCCCGGTTTCGATCCCGGTGTTGGCCTAGACAATTCCTCGGGATTTTCCAGCTGTCAGTTGTGCAGGTCGGAGAGGGTCTGGCAAGGAACAGTGTCTAGTCGTTCGTATGGGACACCCACCCCCACCTAAAACCAATCGGATACATACTATAGAGATACCAATTCTTCCATCGCCACACCAATACCAACCAGATTCATGCTATAGAGATACCAAATCATACCAATACCATACTACCCATGTTGCTAGTTACCATGAGTCGCATCCGTGTCCAAGGCTCGGGTACTCATACTCATGACTTACAGGCATTGTGCTGGACGCCATTTCATGGAGGTGGTATAGGGGTACCCAGTAGTGTCAGCATGTTGTCTAGGAGGTAGTGGCGGGATATTACTGGTGTCCTAGACTGAAATCCTTCTTCCAAAGTCATGGCCGCATATTCCAGCTCTACGGTAACCGTTGAGACATCTTGAAGAGATACTGTGGTCTTCAGCTTACGGGTGCAGACAAAAGGTTTGTTCCATACCATTCTCCTATCTAGCGAGTCAGAAGATACTCCAAGAAATTCAGCCAAGGTCAACTTCCTCGTTTCCAAATGGAATCCTTTAAGGGCGATGTCAACACCAGGAGGTCTCATGTTATTGGAGTTTGGTAGAAGAGTTAACTTTCGGGTTAAAGAACCCAAGGTACGAGGGGATTGTTACAGCGTTTTTCTTTGGGGTGACCCTGTACCACACCTTATCTTCATCAGTCGCGAACAGGGCAACTCTGCAATCCTTCTAATAGTGAGATCTGTAAGAGTAACCAGATCGGCAAGGTTGAACGATGGTTGATGAGGATAATACTTCTCCAGTAAAGGGGTTGTTGTTAGCGTTATCTCCCCTTCGGCACAGACAGGCAACACATCACTGACACTCTCGCAGTCACCTTTGAGGGTTCTCCATTCTTCTGTCCATTCTTCTTCTGACCGGAAAAGATCTGGAAACTTACGGGTCAAGTCCAGCATCATCTGTCTTGTAAGCTGGGATAGTGGTGAAGCCCACTTTGGTACCGTGGCAACTCGTTTGTAGACTTGGGGGGTGATGGCGTTATACGACAGAATAAACACACAACCTTCATTCGTTTATGGGGAGCAGCAGCCAAGTGGTTCTTTAGTTGTTTCTTCGTTGCAACGACCCAAGGCAAGACCCAATCCCGCAATTCTATTTAGACATCTTAGAAAGCCTAAAATGTATAATAATGTGAAAACCTTAAGTTTTGCGGACTATAAAACGTTATCAATAATGCCATCATGTGTATCTAAGAACGTAACTATTCGGGCATAGGTTATATTATAATCAAACAGCCATCATCCACGTATACTGTGTCCTTACAGTTGCTCTATAATAGGCTATTGCTCCCATTAATTCTTCCTTTGAGTTCGCTACTTTTAATGCAGCTCCGAATTCATTTGGAAAGATCCTGTGTCAGTAGGTTTCTGGTTGATCAGGTCAAATCTCTACTGACAAATTACTTCAATGGGTATACTTCCTATCCACATTGTCAGCCTTTCATTATCCAATATCAATTTCCGTAACGGAATCACTGCATCTCAAACTTTAGACTTCTTTTTACCTTCTTCAAGGATGCTGACTAACAGCAATACCATTTCTCTCACTTAAAAACTTCTAAAATGGACAACTACATAGCATAAGATGACCGGATTACTTCATTCGTTTACCATCTGTTTAACTTCTAACATTTAAGAAATAATGAATCTCTAACGACTAACAACAACATATATTATACAGACAATGGGACAAAAAATTGACGTTGGAATCCTTAAGTTTTCCCATTCAGGTGGGAAGGTTTCTTCCTTTGTATGGTAGAAGCCTATCTAAGTGAAAAACTTGTGGTGCTTTCTTCATGGACTGTTTTATTTGGTACGTTACATCATAGATTTTCCTAACAAGATATGGCCCTTTCCATAAAGAAGTGAACTTGCTGCACACCGACTTTTCTCACAGGATTGTGTAACCATACTGCCTGTTCAGTTCCTCTTCTTGGCCTTTAAGTCATAGTACTTCTTCCTGTAACAAGGAACTTCTGACTTATCTCGTGACATTGTTTGTTTTTGTGTTGAAGACATGACAAATAGTTGTCGACATCTTGTTCAGTTACTTCCTTTGCTGGTTGCTCAATCATTGCCTGCATTGGTAAAGTTATCTCTCTACCAAAAAAACATCATATTCGGGGTTTTGCCTGTACTTGAATGAACAGATGATCGTTAGGCAATCATGACTTGTGGTAAATATTCATCCCACAATTTCTGGTCTTTTTCACAATACATAGTGATCAAAGTCCGGTTGAATCTTTCTACACTTCCATTTGATTGGGGTCGGAAACTAGTCGTTTTAGTCTAATGTATGTCTTTCAGAGAACAGACGTCATGAAAGAGTTTACTTTGATAGTTTGTTCCCTGGTCGGCATTTTAATGTCATAGCTACAGTCTTGGCTTCAGGGATGGCAAAGCCCTGGGCCTGACAAGAATCGCGGGGCCCCTAACGCGACTAAAAGATTATTTCATATGCTTTTGAATGGCACACATGCGCAACACACGATTAAACGGTCTGTAATAGAAGAATAATTACATAATAGCTGATCACATACGAAATCTATTCAGTTCCGAATGGCATACAATGCGCGGAAATAGCATAAGACGGCGGGGAAGCCTAGACCTATCACCGAGTGGAACTTCACAGAGAAGGTTGAGGGATAGCTCAGTCTCCGCCCTCGCACCTCTAGATCGATTACCGTGAAACTTTCATCTACAATTTGAATTTTTTCTCTTTTTGCCATGAACAGTGGCCTGGGCCCCTAAGGCCCATGCCTAAGCTGGGCTTTTAGGGATGGGTAGAGCTGAAGCTTCTGTCCATTTGGTAAAGCAGTCGCTGATTACTATTATATATCGATTACCTATCTTGGTGAGCGGCAAAGGTCCAAGGATGTCCATGGCGATTCTCTCCGTAAAAGCAAGAACACAGGCGTTTAATTGGGCTATTTTTCTATTATTATGACATCTTTTGGTGTGGCGTAAGTAAACAGCGTAGTTATTGTTCGTGTTTGTAGGCTTAAAGGCTTTGTCTAATGTAAAATCTGGACCAAGTGTAAAATCTACACCAAGTGACATTTCGTCATAGTGACACATTCAGTAAAACACGAACATTACACATTAAATTTACTTATTTTGCTATGCCAGAATTAAACAGTGTGATACTGAATGGCAAAAAAACAAATGAAACTTTCATAATTCTAGTAAAGTTTAAACGAAACTTACGTTTTATCTTGATACGTCGATGTCTTACTTGGTTAAAATGACCTCGTATTATAGTAAATAGATGCCACGTGACAGGAATCTGTAGTATGAAAACCTCAGATATCGGTTTATACGAGGTTTATATGTTACTGTTGATAATATTTGCAATTCAAGACCACGTATATTATTATACGGGGTTTTGATTGTATGCCATTTTATACGTGATATTCATTTAGACATTTTCAGACATTTAAAACTGTCGTAGCTAAACGAGGTTTTGATATTCAGAAGCGCGCTTTTACGAGCTTTACAATGGTATCAAAAAGTGTTTTTGGCCAAAAATCGGTTATACGAGGTTTCAAGCGGAGACCCACGATATGACATGATTAAATATTCATAGATGTAATTATGAACAATACATAAACATTTATACAGATGTTCTAATAATGATTTGGTTCTTGGCAGCATTCATCTGGACAAAATCTCAACACTTTTCTAATAGTATAAGGTCTTTAACATTTAATCTTACAAGGGTCCAAAAAGAGAGTTATTCCCCTTTAATCACAATCTATGATTGAAATAATGCAATGTTTCCTTGGGTTGTCCAATGTTCACTATTAAACGACAGTTAGTTGTTAAACGTACGAATAAAAGAACAGGAGATATGTACACTCAATTAAACCTTTGCAGTATCACTAGAAATAAGATAATTATTACTGACATGTCCCTAGAAACACACAAATTCCTAACCGCGTGGCCATGTGACCTATTGCTTCCCGGGTCAGCCGAATAGCTATCACTCTAAAATGCAATTAACCAATTGAACAGAGAGAGAGAGAGAGAGAGAGAGAGAATGGGGTTTAACGTCCACTCAACACAAACTAGGCCATTTCGGGACTAACATATGGTTTAATATTATTTCAATAATTCGCTTGCGCGTAGGGGTCTTTAGCAGTGGGAGGAAACCGGAGGACCCGGAGAAAACCCACAAGGTTGGACAGGCGACCCTACTCCTTGTCAAGTACAACCGGGGATTCGAAAACCACACCAGTCGACTCAATGACAGACTTTATGATACAGCGCGCACGCTAACCATTCAGCCATCCAATCCCCCCCCCCCAATTGAACAGGATGTAACATCCTCCAATTAATGCATACATGATAGATAAGAACATTATTCTACACGATAATAATGATTACTTAGCAAGGCATATAGTATTAAGTGATATCTACCTGAAAATATGAGAGACAGAGAGTAAGCGAGTATCAAATTTTATTGACAAAATGGAAGAGAACCATGCGGTTTCAACTTCCGGTGATATTTCCTAACCACTGACATATATTCCGAAACGAAACAAAAAGTGATATAATACGTGCAGTATCATTATACTTTTTGTAAAAAAAAAAAATGGTGGAAAAATATAAGTTAGTTTCCACATGGCTACATCTGCAGCTTTATAAAGTTTCCTATTTGCACACTCACACATATCAAACACCATTATAAAACCTGTTATAAGCAGTACATTACTAGTTGTAATGCACATAAATACAAAAATTAACTTTATTTCTAATTTGTGCTTGTTGCAAACGTACCAACAACATGATTTTGTTCATTTTCACCATGTGAATGGTATTGCCATGCATAGGACGCATAGAATATGTTTAAATTAAGACCTCACTTGTTCACTTTTTGTTCCCCGCCTTTGGAAGAAAGAAGGAGACTATTAAAATGTGTTTGTCCGTCCGTCCATCTGTCTGTCCGTCACACTTTTTGGGACACAATAATTGAGCTAGAATGTTCAAACTTGGTGTTGGTGTTTATTGGGTCAAGGCCTTGATGGAGTTCGAAGATGAGCATTTTCTGCTTAGGGTAAGCAGAGATAAGCAATTTGATTGGTTGATTCTTTGGGACACGGTAATGTTAGTTCTTATTAAGTGAGAGTGATGAAACTTGGTGTATAGTTTCATTAAATCAATACCTTGACTAAGTTCAATAATGAGCATTTTCTGCTGAGGGTAAGCAGAGTGATAATCAATTTGATTGGTTGAGACTTTTGAACACAATAACTCTCCTTCTATTTGAGGTAGAATGTTCAAACTTGGTGTAGGCGTTGAATGCCTTGATGGAGTTCAATGATGAATATTGTCTGTTTACGGTAAGCAGAGATAAGCAATCTGATTGGTTGATGATTTGGGGCACGATAACATTGGTTATAATGAAGTGAGAGCAATGAAACTCTGAATATAGATTCATTATATCATTACCTTGACTAAGTTTGACGGTGAGAATTTTCTGCTTAGGCTTAGGAGCGATAAGCAATTTGATTGGTCAAGACTTTGGAACATAACAACTTAATTTGGTAGAATGTTTAAACTTGATGTAGATGTTCATTAGGTGAATGTTTTGACTGGGTTCAATGATTAACATTTCGAGCTGAAGCTAAGCAGTGCTAACCAATTTCATTGGTTGATGCTACGGGACAAGATAATCTTGATTCTGTCTGATAGAGAGTGATGAAACTTAGTGTATAGTTTGAATGCTTGATACTTTTGAAAAAAATAAATGTGCGATTAATTAATATGTGTCATCTATTTATTTTGGGATTTCGGCGGGGGACATCCGGAACATCAGGCTCACTGTTGGTTTGTTATTTTATGATTTCAGTCGTTGAAGGACTTCGTAGCTAGACAGAAAATGGGGAGATTTGCTTCCGCAGATGAAATAGCAAGTTTGGTATTATATCTAGCTTCAGATGAGGTAGGAGTCTTTTTTGTCCCCCGCCTTTCGAAGAAAGCAGGGGACTATTAAAATGGGTTCGTCCGTCTGTCTGTCCGTCTGTCTGTCCGTCTGTCCGTCCGTCTGTCTGTCCGTCTGTCTGTCCGTCACACTTTTTGGGACACAATAACTCTCTTCCTAATTGAGCTAGAATGTTCAAACTTGGTGTATGTGTTTATTAGGTCAATGCCTTGATGGAGTTCGAAGATGAGCATTTTCCGCTTAGGGTAAGCAGAGATAAGCAATTTGATTGGTTGATGCTTTGGGACACGATAACTCTCTTCCTAATTGGGCTAGAATGTTCAAACTTGGTGTATGTGTTGATTAGGTCAATGCCTTGATGGAGTTCGAAGATGAGCATTTTCTGCTTAGGGTAAGCAGAGATAAGCAATTTGATTGGTTGATGATTTGGGACACGATAACTTTTAATTGAGCTAGAATGTTCAAACTTGGTGTATGTGTTTATTAGGTCAATGCCTTGATGGAGTTCGAAGATGAGCATTTTCCGCTTAGGGTAAGCAGAGATAAGCAATTTGATTGGTTGATACTTTGGGGCACGATAACTCTCTTCCTAATTGAGCTAGAATGTTCAAACTTGGTGTATGTGTTGATTAGGTCAATGCCTTGATGGAGTTCGAAGATGAGCATTTTCCGCTTAGGGTAAGCAGAGATAAGCAATTTGATTGGTTGATGCTTTGGGACACGATAACTTTAGTTCTAATTAAGTGAGATTGATGAAACTTGGTGTATAGTTTCATTACAGTAATACCTTGACTAAGTTTGATAATGAGCATTTTCTGCTCAGGGTAAGCAGAGCGATACGCAATTTGATTGGTCGAGACTTTGGAAAACAATAACTCTCCTACTTTGATTGTTAGACTATAAGTAAAGATATACTGTTTGATTGTTCAATACTTTGTAAAAGATAATTTGTGATAAATTTGTATGTGTCCTCTAATTATTTTCCTATTTCGGCGGGGGACATCAGCCTCACTGTTGGCTTGTCTTATCTTCATTAGACTTCAGAGTGTTTTGATTACTATTTGTATGTGTACTACATACACATATCTCATCTAACAATGAGTACTAGTGATTAGTATTTCATGTAAATTTAAACAATAGCTGCTAAAATATCCTAGATTGTTTAAACAATCTTATATTCAGTCTAAACTCAACCTTCAACTCATAATGGAACTAATGACATTCAAACCATAAATAGATAACTATCAGGGGCGCACAAATATATTTACCCAGCGGAGGGGTGCCATCAAAAAATCGGCCCACTCAGTATTAGAAAATAAAATTGGCCCACAATATCAATAAAACAACAACAAAGGAAAATTCGCCCGCATAATCTCAAAATTTATATTTCCAAAATAAAGTACCAAAGGACAGACAGTGATCATCATCATCATTTACATGTTATGTAATGTAGCTACGGTACGCAGGAGTTTCCTCATGAGCACAGAGTAATTTTGACAATACAAACTTTTGGTTTGACTGAATGTGTAAGAGAACCCGGCAAACTGGTCCTTTTTCCCGAAAAATCGGCTCACTCAGCAAAAAAATCAGACCATCCCCGTTGTACGCCCCTGATAACTATCATTCACAATGTAAATAGGTAACTATCACACCATATCATAGACTACTAACTGATATTCATATCATCTTGGCTATTCAGTGATAGTCACATCATCTAACTATTCACTGAGATCACTTCATCTCAGCTATTCAGTAGTATTCACATTATGTCAACTTTTCACTGAGATCACATCATGTCTACTATTAAAGGATAATATTGGTGCCAATCATTATCACATATGTGATAGAACTGGTTAAACACGTTCCAAATATTATTTTATCACAATGATCATTGCTACGATAGATGCGTAATCAATGTTTCAACAAACTGAAGTGACGAACGCAAAAGCAAAACACGAGTTATCCCTCTATATAACTGACTGAAGTGACGGGTGATAACAGATACATGGGCGAATTTCTGCTCACTAATAATTCCTTCGAAGACCAAAAGTGGTTGTGTGAGAATGTGAAAGAATATCTGACAATTCATAAACAAAATTGACTGTCACTAGATAAGAGAACATGAAAGAAAAATAGAAAAATTCTGTGCATTACCATGTTTTTATGAGTATAGAATGAATAAACACACGTGAATGTGGGGACTGTTTCTATTTTTCTCATGTTCTCTTATCTAATGACATTCAGTTACTTTAAATTGATACACAGTGTTTTAAGGTCATGAGAAGAAGAAGCTTATTGATTTTCAGCGATTATCGATAATTACTGCCAGAGTTATGGCCCTTGATCACTTCAAAAAATCTTGTGGACGCTCTAGAGGTCAAAATTAATATCCGATTGACATTAAATTTATACACATTGTTAACGGTCATGAGACAAAAACGCCTATTGATTTTCAGCGATTTCCGATAATTACTGCCAGAGTTATGGCCCTTGATCACTTCAAAAAATCTTGTGGATGCTCTAGAGGTCAAAGTTAATATCCGATTGACTTTAAATTTATACACAGTGTTTAAGGTCATGAGGCGAAGAAGCCTGTTGATTTTCAGCGATTTCCGATAATTACTGCCAGAGTTATGACCCTTGATCACTTTGAAAAATCTTGTGGATGCTCTAGAGGCTAAAGTTAATATCCGATAGACTTTAATTTTATACACAGTGTTTAAGGTCATGAAACCAAGAAGCCTATTGATTTTCAGTGATTTCTGATAATTACTACCAGAGTTATGGCCCTTGATCACTTTGAAAAATCTTGTGGACGCTCTAGCGGCTAAAGTTATCATCCGATTGACTTCAGATTGATACACAGAGTTTAAGGTCTTGAGACAAACAAGTATATTGATTTTCAATAAATCTTTATGACTTGAACAGCTCAATCCATGATGTTAAAAGTTTTGTATACTAAACGTTAGCATGGGGCCGAACTTTATAAAAACCAAACAAATTCTAATGGTTTTCTGATAATTACTTAATGAGTTGTTACTCTTAATCAGATTTTAATGTATTATAAATGTTTCATTACCGAAAAAAGTAAAAATATGCGACAACTCTTGTTGACTGCCCGGATGATATAGCTGCCGTGGGCGTATGTTTCGTTGCCTGGCAACCTATCTTTTGAATTGTCAGATATACTCTTACAGTCTCATATAACAACTTTGGGTCTTCGAAAGAATTATTAGTGAGCAGAAATTCGCCCATGTATCTGTTATCACTTGTCACTTCAGTCAGTTATTTAGAGGGATAACTTTTCCGTTTGTCACTTCTGATTGTTCAAGCATTGATTAAGCATCTATTGTAGCAATGATCACTGTGATAAAATAATATTTGGAACATGTTTAACCAGTTCTATCACATATGTGATAATGACTGGCACCAATATTGTCCTATAACTGACATTGCGTTACATCAACCATTCACTAATATTCAAATTATGTCAACTATTTACTGAAATTCACATCATATCAACTATTCACTGATATTTACATCATGTCAACTATTCACTGATATTCATATTATGTCAACTATTCACTGAGATTGCATTATGTCAACTATTCACTGATATTTACATCATTCAACTATTCACTGATATTCACATTATGTCAAATATTCACAGAGTGGCACTATGTCATTGTCAAATTATCACTGATATTTGCATCATGTTAACTATTCACTGATATTTACATTATGTCAAATATTGGCATCATATCAACCTATTCACTGACATCGCATCACATCAACTATTCACTGATATTCCCATCATGTCAACCATTCACTGATATTCACACCATGTCAACGATTCACTGATATTGTCAACTATTCACCGATTCACAGATATTCACATCATGTCAACTGTTCACTGATATTTACATTATGTTGACTATTCACTGATATTCACATCATGTCAGTTAGTTGCCAAACTTCATATAATAGACTGATCATTCATCTCATCATTTCACATGAAATATTGTCAACATAAGTATGAACATTGATTAAAGTAAATTGTATTATTTATTTTCTAGTCTGTTTATGTAACTGGACAACCATTTATCATAGATGGAGGATGGAGTCTTTAAATATGGTACAAACTATCATTGCTAGTCCCAATTATATGCATATTTATTTACAGAATGACATTGTTAGTTGTAAATTGCACTTGTATTGTCCTGAATGAACAAAAAATTATGAATTGAAAGTAGTCAATTTAAAATTATAATAAGTATATACATTAAATATAAAATCATACATTGTTAAAGAAAATAAATGGTATAATTAATTTTATGGATTTCTTCTCTTCTTTGATGAACAAGACTATAGACCAGTGGTTCTCAACCTTTTTTGCCAACGGCACACCTTGGAACACCTGAAAAAATAGCGGCACACCTGGCTAAATATATATGAAAAATATTTGAATTTTGATATAAAAACATGGTAAGTCAGACGGAATGCAACCGTAGACAGAGACTAGTCATAGAATGACTCAAATTAAATATAGAAAAACTCAGCTATGAATTTATCAGTAGACACCAGTGAATACTCAATATTGGGATCATATGGTTTTTCGCATTTTCTTAGTGTGCCATTCAAAATTTCGCAGTACACTAAGGAAGATCTCACACTGGTTGAGAATCACTGCTATAGACCAATTCATCTCTTAGAAGTCATTGAATTGCCGTACAAATATATAGAGTGGTCAAATGTTGGACTTGTAGCGTGACAATTGCATGATTGTTGAAGATATGCTTTAAGACCAGGATTTTGAATATGATTGAAAACTCCCCTCTTGGTTTTGCGACTATCCAAAACCACCAAGGACCCCAGACTTTTCTAGGATTCCTCTGTATCAGTTGTAGCTGGTTGTAACCTGTTGTGGCTTCAAACAAAAACTATAGCATGGGTAACTAAAGCTTTGAAAGGGATGTGTGTGACAAAGTTGCCTGAAGCATGGTACTGCCAATCATAGGTCTGTCATCTATGCTAATATGACCTTGATTTCAAATTTGTACATCACAAAAAGGGGTATGGCCTGTACAACTGTGAAATCTAAAATGCTTAGTCAAATTGAAAACATAATACCTCCATAAATGTTTACACACCTCACTAAAAAAAATGAATTTAAAAAAAAAAAGATAAGCAATGGATGAATCTTCACCTTTTCAAAACCATTTTATTTCTACAAACCTGATAAGTTATGTGAACTCAATGAAAAGTAAAATCTGTTGTTCTGGGAATGAAGCACACCATATGCAATCCACAACACCGGTTACTACTATTGCAAATCGGATATACAATGGAGATGAAAATCTTGACTTTCAGATGAATTTTATTCGGAACTAAGATTTTTTTTATGACATTTTCTTTGCTACTAAGTTAACTTAGTTTTCTGTCCCGAACAGTAAAAATTGATAACAATTTACAAATATATAGTAAGATTGTCTCTATGTAGGAATAATTACCTCAATCACCGTTTGAACTAGCTTTAACTTATAAACAATATGTGGTATTTGATTGTTTTATCCTTATGAAACAGAACACATGGCTAGTGCTTGACACTAAATAAAGTTTAATATACATGTAGACACTGGGGTTTAATTTACTGTTCACATGGTGCAGGGGCGGATCCAGGAATTTATGCAGGAGGGGGTTTGCCAGGTTCCTGTTGAGGAAATCTGTCATCATCGTCTCTAAATTACATAGGCATACATACAAATTGACCTTTTTAAAGAGAGAAATCATTTTTGTAATGATGTAGGAACACATTGTGATTTAATTTCATTGATGCAAGGCATTCAATTTTTTTATGTATATGAGCCGGGTGGGTTTTTGGACCCCCCAAACCCCCCCTCTGGATCCGCCCCTGATGGTTGGGTGACAAAGAAGATTTATTCTCTCATGTGTCAATATATAATGGCTGGGTGATCAAGATTTACAAAAAAAGGTTTAATAGTTGACTACTGTGGTCAGGGATTGCAGATCCTTAATTTATATAGGTTAATATTCACAATAATTGAGCCAAAAGAGGCGGCAGGGAGGGGAACACTTGCAATAAAATCAAGTGGATCCTCTTGTAAGAATTTTGACAGTTCAGACATATTTTACAGGAGCCCAAATGTGTGCCTTAAAGAATTTGACTGTGTAGTATCTTGTTTTTGAGTATATGAATAATTCAAAGCATTTATTTATAAAAATGTTTATTACTAGTAAATTATAAAGTGGAACAAATGCTTTGCTGAGTGAAGTTGTGGGGTAATAAAATTCATTTTGTGACATGGAATGAAAGTGTTGGCACCATTTAATACATGTTTAATCCTTCACAACCTCTTAAATTTAAAATATAGTTCATACTCTGTTTATTTCAAATAATCTCTAAAAGCCCTTGATCCTCCAAGTTATTGAGAGATGATCCATACCCTAACCATGGAAGATCATTGATCCATAATCTTGAGTGTGCAAGGCTTTACAGAGAATTTTACACCAACCCTTCTCAATGAATTTCAGAAAATATGACCACCATATCTTTGTACCTTTGAGATCCTCGAAGGTTAAGTAAAAAGGTCAACATGGTTACCACTTCTATTGATATTCATATCACTTGAAGTAATCTTTTGTCATCAGTTGTACCATGTAATTAGAATATTAGGCCATACAAAAAATGTTCTCAGGCAATCCTTATGCTAGGTTCCGACTTAAAGCATTGCGATAGGATTGTCCCTATTGAGTCCACGATCTGGTACATGCAGATATGTACACAATTAACATGATTCCTACAAATGACCTCAATATACAGTATGATAAGACCTGATAGGATCACCACGATTACTGCACGATTAAAACCATGATTTCAATCGCAGCACGCTTCATGATAGTGGGAACCTAGCATTACCAAAAATCTTATGTGGGAAGGAGGACTTTATTATGTGTTTTTATTTTATCAAAGAATCTCTACTTGGTTAAATGACTTCCCATACACATCAAATTTCAAGGCAATTTATCTCATAATTTTGTTTATAGAAATGTATGATTATCCAGTAGCATTTATGACTGTCATTAACATGTATCAGAACCTATGCATTCATACAAGTTATTTTATAGATTAATTTCCAGTAACCGGGGTAAAATATTTACATGCAGCAATTAATGAGACTGTTCTATTTTTTGAAATAAAAACATGTTATGCTGCCTTTTTTAAGTGATGCAGGATTATGTGAGAACCAGAATATATTTTTTGTATGGCCTTAGTATTATAATTCTATGGTTGTATTATTGAGGTTCTGTGGTGTGACATAATGACATATTTTCTGAAAACAGCTATAGAAAGTCTTTCATTGTATAATGAATTTAGAGAATGTGAAACAATTAAGATAAAAAGTACTCAATACAATGTACTTTGTGAAATAAATTGTTAGTAATACAATCATGTAATTTTTCAACAAATAATACTGATATTCTTGTGTTCTTCATCAATTTCTCAATCACAATATTAAAATAGTTTTATATTATCTTTAAATGGCATTTAGCGATTTGAACATAATATTACACAACATAGTTCTATGGATAACAATCACTATATTATATACACACAACGTTTCAACAAGATTTCACAAAGCATACAAATTTACGACCAATGAAATCGTGTGGATATGGTATGTGTATATAATACATTGATTGTTATCCATAGAACTGTGTTGTGTTATAGTTTTATATTTTTTGCTATAGGATTAATGAGAGAACTTAGAGCCTTAAATTTAGAGGACCTGATCAATATCAGTTCACTACGATAATTTTAAATGCATGTTTCAATGTAGAAGGCTGAGAAAAATAACTGATGAATTTAATCTTAGAGTTGTATTAAATTTGAACAGCTCAAAACAGATTCAAAGATTTGGCTTGTATATTTGTCTTCTATTATTATAAATCTATATCCTTTCTTTCAGATAGGGTTAACAAACATTTCAATAATCAGACATCCTAAAATAAAGTCTAATATTTGGAATGTAGAATAAAATATTGCTTCCCTTCATTTCCACTTATGTTATATATAAAAAAAAACAAATCTCTTCTCATTCATTCATTTAAAAAATAAATATGACATGACACTAAGCCTTCCTTTGGCTGCAAACTTGTGAGGTGGTAATCATGAAGGTCAAATCACATCCTGTGTTAAATTTGATCAATTTCAATTTTTAATATACCAGTAGCCATTATTTTCTTAGTAGTGCTAAATTAGATGAATGGTAACTTACAATCAGGTACATAATTACCACTGTTAAAATTGCCATCTTATCCAGTAATCCTAAAACATAATTATTGTGACACATTTTTGGAATTTTACCAATAAAACTGGCCATGAGTTGACTTTTGATTCAGAAAATATGGGTATCTTCTCAAACCTTAAGGTTAGCCATGAAAATTTAATTGTGGCCATGGCTACATTTGCTAATATTATTCCTTGTGATTTTTTAGGAGCTTCATGGTATGGTTACAGCTACCATTTTCAGCACACACACTTAATACGTCATAAATTTTTATAATTTGGAACCAAATTTCTTGTCTTAACACTTTTTGCTTGAGTCAAAGAAAGACCATGCTGACTGTAGTGGATTCTCCATTTTACTAGTAGCCTCTTACACACAGAGAATACAATCACAGTATTGAGGCTATCTAATTCAATAACTAGAAGAAAGATATATATATATATATATCAACAATCATTTTATTGGGGTTTTTTTTGTGTGTGTAAAAAAAGTTATGTTTTAAAAGTGCTAAAAAAATCTAGTAAAAAATAATTTAACAAATTTTGCACAAAGTATAATGTGCATGATAATAATATTTCTCTGTAGTTAAAAAATGAGTACACTACAATATTCATGTTATTATGCTATACTTATCACAGAAGTATATTCTAAATAAATATTATAACAAAAACAATATATATTTATATATATACAAAGTGAATGGTGTACATACATCTAAATAGATCTTGTTTCACAGCACTTATATAGTACAGGTTACATGTAAAAACAACATTCCACGCCCTAGGTTGTACACGTTGTTTTGGTAAAAGGATATGTAATCTCACTGTTATTGGTAATCACCAACAAAATACTAGTTACTAGTAAGATGTATAGCAAATAGTATCAGACATCACAATCATTCTACCTGGTTACAAATTGCGGGGTTTGGATGGCTGAATTATTAGCATGTGTGTGTTGTATCATAAGGTCTGAAAATATGAGAGACAGAGAGTGAGCGAGTATCAAATTTTATTGACAAAATGGAAGATCATGTCATTTAGGTTACATATGACATGATTGAATATTCATAGATGCAATTATGAACAATACATAAACATTTATACAAATGTTTTAATAATGATTTGGTTCTTGGCAGCATTCATATGGACAAAATCCCAACACGTTTCTAAGGCCTTTGGGGGGGTTGGATGGCCGAATGGTTAGCATGTGCGCGCTGTATCATAAGGCCTGTCATTGAGTCAACTGGCATGGTTTTGATTCCCCGGTTGTACGTGACTAGGAGTAGGATCACCCGTCCAAACTCGTGGGTTTTCTCCGGGTCTTCAGGTTTCTTCCCACTGCTAAAGCCCTCCTACGCGCAAGCGAATTATTGAAATAAAATTGAACCATATGTTAGTCCCGAAATGACCTAGTTTGTGTTGAGTGGACGTTAAACCCCATTTCTCTCTCTCTCTCTCTCTCTCTCTCTGGTTACAAATTACTATTTGTTTTAGAATTACACTTTAAAGGTTTCAAAAGACAGAAAAGTTATATATTCAGCCCTAGATATATGAATCTTACAAGTTTGTATATAAAATTGTTTAGAAATGTTTTTAAATGTCATATAGATAAAGGAAGAAAATCCATATAATATAACCAAGTCATGGTAATAGGTTTAACACATCTACATTATTCGTTAGAATATTATTAATTTGCAAAAGGCACATCTAATTTTATAGGCCCACATTGAAATGTCTGGCATCCACAATTGCTTGTGGACACCCTGAAGCCTCAAGTCTTTGCCCGATTAACTTTAAATTTATACACAGTGTTTAAGGTCATCGGACAAAGAAGCCTGTTGATTTTCAATGATTTCCAATAATTATTGTCAGAATTATGTCCCTCGATCAATTTTAAAAATCTTGTGGGTACTATAGAGACCAGAGCTATCAACCGATTGACTTTAAACATACATAACGTGGTTACGGTCATGAGATGAAGAAGCCTATTGATCATCACATTGGCTTTAAAACAAAGTGTCCACATTCATGAGAGCAAGAAGTCTCACGCTTTTCAACGATTTCGATAACTTGAACAGCTAAGTTCATCATATTACACATATTTTGTATAATAAAAGTTATCAGGAAGAACTACTTCAAGCCAAAACAATTCTATTATTTCTGATAATTACTTAATGGGTTGTAAATGTTTTCATTACCAACAAAAAAGAATATGCGACAACAATTGTGGACTGCTTGGATGAATTAGCTGCTGTGGGTATATGTTTTGTTGCCTGGCAACCAATCATTTGATATTGAGTTGATATTTGTACAAAGATTAATCAAGATAGTTTTTGTCATTTGTATAGAGATATCTGAAATGATAATTATGTACTTAATCCTAAGTAAAAACACACAAACTCTTCAATTGAGAATTGTACAATCAGCAAAAGGTATATACTTTTGTAATATATTAATGTCTGCATAGAATTCTGTAAAAAATATAGTTCACAGTTTCTGATAAATTATACATAAAGTAATAGAATACCAAAGTAAGATTTGTTTCCAATACTAATAAGCAAAAGGCACGACTATTATAATAGATTGGTATGTTTACAACGTTTCCATCGAAACACAAAAATTATTCCATCAAGATTTGGCTAATGGAACAAATTTCACAACAGCTATAATAGACTGATATGTATACATAGTTTCAGAAAGATATCTTCAATGACATACAAAAAACTTAATAAGCAGACAGTATTTAATACCTGTACTATGTGATGTGAAACTTAACTGAGATTCAACAAATAATAAAAATAGTACATACCTTATACAATATACATGTACATGTATTAACAACAATTTGCCATTCTTCGTATTTTTGATCATTTACATAGCAAGTAGTACTTTTTTGAAACATAAAAGAATGTGTTTTCTATTATATAAAGGTAGATCTTTCTGAATCTGTCTAAAGTTAATGGAAACCCCCCAACAAACAGTAGTAAAAAGGAGTATTAGATTGTGTTAGCCTAATATCCAACTAGAAGATATAATATTTGCACTATTTTAAAGAATTGTAAGCACAACTATTTAGTTTGATATTATAAAATTACAATCTGATATACCGGTACATAGAGACAAAGGTCCTGTTTTTAAAAAAAAAAACAAACAAAAATTCACTCTTCCATAAAAATGCCTTTTGGGTGGTTTACTTAATACAATATACAGGTACATGTATGAGGTTGATATGCCATTATGATAATGTGCCTTAAAATGGTGAAAATGCATAAAAGGGGTGCTTTGGTTTGAATAATTTCTAGTTTGTAATGCTTGCATCTTGCATATATATATATATATACAGTGCTGTGGGCTTCTCATATTTCTTTTAATACTGTAATCTCTATCTTATATATTATTTTACAATTGTTTTAGACTAGAAATTGTTAGACATTTTTGTAGCAACATTGAAAGTGAGACTATTATAAAGTGGCTTTATAGTGTATGTATAATTAATTCATCATTTGTACAGTATTTGTAAATATATGATATAAGTACTTAAACAATATGTTAGTTGCACCACATAGAACTATATTATCCAGTATATAGAGGGAGTTTAATTAAATCTTCTATATACCGGTATATATATATATATATATATATATATATTGTTTACAAACCATCATGTCAAGTACTATATATGTTCATGTCTTTGGATTTCAGACACCTTATATAATATTAACCATTGTAGAAATGTGACATTAGCTGTACTATAACTGTTTATTTTTACTGTATGTACTTACACTGTGGGTTTTTTGTACTGAATTTTATATCCAAAGAATGTATTGACACTGTGGGGTTTTTGTACTGAATTTTTGTAACAACTGCACGAGTATAATGTACTGACTCTAGAGTTTTTATACTTATCTATTTTTTGTGTCTATTTCTATTGACTAGTAATATTTCTGTAAATCTTTTGTTAATCCTTCTGATAAGTTGAAATAGCCATTTGTTTTTTGAATGGAGGACGAGATAGTTTATCTAATACACAATAAAGGTAATGTACATCTGTCAATCTCGTTGTTTGTCACACACACGCACATCTTGATATTATAAGTGTTCCACAGAATCAGTCAGCTTTCCAATTTATTGTCACTCATTATTAATCAGTTAAATATCTATTATTAAAAATAACCACAGCATATCTTCATCATATCATTTGTGATCATCAGTATTTATATGATTAATGATATAAAGCTGTACACCCGTTCTTGAACATGCTCAGTCTTTAATGGTTATCTCCCTTTATTTTGTAAAGTCTCATGATAAACCATTATGTGTGCTAGGATTGGTCATCATCATCATCTACATCATCATACACTATATCTGCTGCCGATTGGTTCTGAGATTTAACCAATATCTTTAACAGAATTAACACCTGATCCATTTTATTATCTAACTTATTAACCTATAATAGATAATATTATATATGTTATAATGTCTGGAGCCACAGTGGCACAGTAAGTAAGGCACTGGCTTGCTAACCAGGAGGTCCTGGATTTGACCCCAGTGTTGGCCCAGATAGTTCTTTGGGTTTTCACATGCTAGTGGTGCAGGATGGAGAAAACAGCAATGAACAGCGTCTAGTCGCCACAAGGTGGAAATATTGGATATATAAGCCAAGAAATCAATGTTGTAATTCCCAACTGTTCAATTGTCTCACTAGTCTAGGCAACAGTTGTGACATAAACCCAGTGTATACTGTATAGTCCATGACATGTTCAGAGACTCAGTAGTCAACTGGGTCAACATTGCTCCAGATCTAACAGAGAAAATAAGGGACCACTTACACTTGTATCCCTAATTCGTTGCATAGACATGTAAAAACATACTGTCACTTCTCACTGTATAGATACAGTTTCAGCATTTGAAGTCACACATATCATTCGTAATCATGTCTACCAATGGTATAAAAACTTACCTGAGTTTCTACCCTTGTAATTCTAGAATATAGAGTCATCTTCTCTTTCTCTTTTATATTACTACAATAAGCTGGTTTACCTATTGTTTGATCCAACCTGCAAATCAACAATATTTATCATACCTTGTTCTAATCTAAAACAACTCTTTCTCTAACATGGATGTAGTAATGGTTGTCAGTTAGAAGAGAATCATGATGATTAAACGTAAAAGAAAAACCAAATGGAATTAACATCTGATTGAGTTGGTAACTGTAGTACCAGTTAATCATTAAACATGATTTCAGCTAATTAACTCAAATATACTATCTAACCATGGATAATTTATAATCTTTTCAATAATTTCATATCTTACCTTCTTTGTAATTCTTTGATTCTAACCATCATATTTAAATGACCCTGAGAGTATTGTTCGATCACATCTCGAACATCATATGGTTTTCTTGCTTGCTGGAATAGAAAATTAAATTCAATAAGTAACCATTATAGTAATAAATTTGTCAATACGATAATATATATGAAATGTACAAGTGGGAATGTTACTTACTTGAAATTTTCTTCTTGCTACAAAAAATTTAATTTTTCTTATAACTCTGATTATAACTTTATGATTTTCATTTAAACTGAAAAATAAAAATAATTTTTGAGTAAATTATGTAAAGGATACAAAAGTAATAGCTTTGTGAACATAGATGTGATATAAAGTGTTCTTGACATAAAAGTGCTTTTGTTGCAATGATGGTGTGATGTGGTTTACCAGTAAATGGCTAGAACTCTCGGATTTGAGTCAAATTTCACTGAATTCGATATGTTGATTTGTTCAGTGCTACTTGTCTATTTTAAACTATCAAGTTCACAGAGCCAATGTTGAAATATGTAAATAGAACTCAGTGACCATTGAATACTGCTCGGGTTATTCAATGGTTCATGTGAGTGTATCCTTGCGGCAGGGATACACTGAGTGAATCATTGAATAACCCAAGCAGTATTCAATGGTCATTGAGATCTGTTTTTATTCTATAACTACATGCAAATCTCAAAATAAGAACAAATTCAATATTCAATAGTGTCTAATTCTTAAATTTCATTTTCATCAACTGTAGAAACTGTTCTATCCAGATTATCAAAAATCTCATCACCAATAACGTCAAAATTAATCATAGGTTCCGTCATTACAGTTGTGACGTCATCCTGGAAAAAATTAGCCCCTCTTGAAGCCATTGAATACAACCATGGATTATTCAATGGCTGTATTGAATGGCGCTTGTATTTGCATGTAGTTATACAATAAAACTGATTCTTTGAGTTACAGCAGCTGACAGTTTAAAGCCGAAATTGAAACTTAAATTGGTAAACAAACCAAATTCTGTTTAATACCTGGTACTTTGAAATGAAAAATTGATTGTTTTGAGCTTGTCCCATCACTGATTTGGAATGTAAACAATGAGAGGAGCAGGGTGGGGATGTAGAGCAAATTCAAAAATCTATGATCATTAAAAGTATGATAGTATTCTTCCATATGGTACAGTGAGCAATTATAAACCCTGACTTCTAATTTTGATTTAACTTGGATTATTCAAGAATAGGATCAAGATCATGAAAATAAGGATATCATCAGAGTTATTTGTATACATGTAATTATATGATGGATGAAATATTGACTTACATTGTTGGTTTATAAACAAAATCATTATCATAAACATCATCTACATTATTACCATCTGTTAAATCTAAAGATTCTGATACTGATTTAGTTGGTGTACCTATACATTTATATAAATAACATAATAATTATTACATAGTAAAAACAATATATAAATGTACTTAATAGGAAAAATGTAAATTTTGCTAAAATTGGGCTACGCTGAATCTGTTTAGTAGCAGTTTAATTTCCATTTTTATAAAAAAAAAACCTGTCAGATATTAGAGAACCAAGACTGATGTTTGAACATCCATTTCTGTGTTCAGCTAAGGCTTTACATAGTAGATATACTCATTTGTAATTAATGAATTATGATTAAATATAGATAATGTTGTTTTACCTGGTTTATTAATGGTCTGATCTGTATATGCTACAATACTATTACTGCTCTCCTGTCGCTCTAAACTATTTGCACTTTTAATACTTCGTTTCTTCTTAAATAGACTAGGTCTACGATTAAATCGAGAAAATGTTGATTGATTGGAACTATTCTGGTATAGTGGATGTTTGGTTTTATAATGGTGACCTTTATCTTGTACATGTATTTGCCATGTTGCCAGTGAATCAAAGCCAGCTTCTGCTGCATGACATCGCCATAAACACTGTTATAAATATACATTAATATACTTCATTTAGCTGTACCAGATGTAGAACAGAAAGATGCAACATTTCAGAGTTTTTTTTAAATTTTCTAAATTGAAATTACAAGTCATAGTAATTTATAATATATACTGGATGATTTCAGAATCTTCCAATCAGCTAGAAAGATTACACATGACATAAGATTGACATTTATTGCTTTATAACTCATGTGATTAAATATTCTATGGTTTACCATATGTTTCTTGTAATTTGAATATTTTATTCACAAAGATAAATGTTATTTTGTCTTAATTTCTGGCAGAATCTTGACTTGATCTGGAGATGATAAAATAGCCTGACATTTTCTCTACATACCGATAGAACAAAGTATATACATGCACTTACCAGACATTATAAACATTAACTACTACCAGAATATACTAGCTTAAATTAAAGGTATCAGCAAACTCACAGATCTTACAAGATTTTATAATTGATCAGAAGATGGTGTTGTTTATTAATACATGTTTTTATACCTGAATCAGTGTAGCTGCTGTTGGAATTTGTCGATTGAAATGTTTTTGCCTCTGTTTTTGTTGTACTTTTAAGGCAAAACCAGATCCAAGAATACCCTGTAAAATTTGAATTATTTCTGTTATTAAAGTTAATGCAAAGCCAAAGTCCAAGTTTGACTGGGTATCTGTTTTGGCTCAGTCTTACTTCTTTTTTTAATTATAAAATGTAACATTTGCTATTTTTGTAAGTAAAATAGTATGTATACATGAAATACAATGTAGTACTCAATAAACCCAAGTAGGGCGTATAAATGATAATTAGTAAGAAAGAAACCTAGGCATTAGGGTTATGAGAGGACAAACTCTATTGATTTTCAGCGATCCGCTAACTGAGGTTATACTTTTTAACAGATGATTTCAAATTTTCACTCTGTGACCTTTCATTTTGTAGGTACCTCCCTTTTGCCGGAAACCTTGTTATGGTGATATAAGCTGCAGTATTTACCGATGTTCTACAAATTTGGGGTAAAGCATTGGGGTAGTTAGAGAATATATCAATATTTAGCGTTTCAGGACATTCCATTCCGGATTTGCCAACCCTTCTTCAAAAGTCTTGTCAACAAGATAAAACTACAGTTTTTATACGCGCACTCTAAAGGTCACAATTATTATCCAATTGATAATAAATTATGAATTTGTAGAGCGCAATTCTTTCCAGTAAACTGCTCAAGAGCGCTAGTCATATATTTGCTTGAAGACTGGTATCTTTAGCTATGATTTTAAAGTGTTCCATGTTTTGGATCTTTTGATGTCTATGGGAAGTCTGTTCCACAAAACTACATCACATCGCAGAAAAGCACGATCTCCATATTTGATTCTTGATGGCACTGCCAACTGTAGCTGCTCAGCTGATCTTAAAGCACGAGATGTTTGATAAAAGGAGAACAGATCTTGAAAGTAAACTGGGCCGAGATGTGGATTGCTTTGTAAACAAAAGTTAATAACTTGAAATTTGTTCAAGCACGAATTGGGAGCCAATGTAAGCTCTTAAGAATGGGAGTAATATGTTCACGGATATTTGTGTGAGTAATAAGTCTGGCGGCAGTGTTCTGTAAACGCTGTAGGCACCCATAAAGGAGACTATTACAGTAGTCAAATCTGGAGATGACAAATGCCTGAATCAAACGTTTCGTGGAGTCTGTATCAATATATTTCCTAATTTGGCGGATATTTCTTATTTGAAAATAAGTAGTTCTGCAAACATTACTCACATGTGTGCTGGAAAGGGATCATTGAAAGGGGAGGTGGCATCATGGTTTGGGTCGCTATCAACGTCAACATCCGGTCCCAGTCGGTGGTGGTCCAAGGCAATCTCTACGCGCAACATTATGTTGATGTCATCCTTCGTCTGGCTCAACATGGCGTCCGTCGACAGATGGTTTTCCAGCATGACAACGCCCGACCCCACACTGCCAGGTTGACAAAAGACTTTCTGAACAATCATCATGTTCGTGTTATGGATTGGCCCGCTGTGTTTCCTGACATGAACTCGATCGAACACCTTTGGGATGAACTTGGACGACGGGTTCGAACTCAAGCTGCGCCACCACAAACTGTTGCAGAGTTGGCACAGGCACTCCAAAATCATTGTAGTGGGACATCTGTGCCAGTCCATGCCAAGGCGACTCAGGCATGTGTAAGAGCTCAGGGTGGACATAACCGATATTGACTTCAGCTGACCCCTGCTTTGTTTCATGGTTTTCTGACGTTTTCAGTTTTGTGCATTTGTAGTGAATTCTTTCATGAAATTATCCACAGATGCTTGTTATCTCGATTTTGTCAATTGTTATGTGCATTTGTTAAAAGTTGTTGCAGTAAATAAACTTTGAATTGGGCATTGCGTTTTTAATGGATTTGAGTGTATTTTTCAAGTTTTGTCAAAATCGGATAAAAATTGTGACCTGTAGAGTGTCCACAAACAAATTGTGGAAGGACAGCCACCGGCGACGACAATATACGTCCACATGAAAATGTAGACGTATAAAAATGAAAAAATCCATATGCTGTGCTATATAAACATGTATAAATAGTTATTAACTTACTGCTGGTAAGGCAAAGAATGAAATTGCGAAGACAGAAAAACAGGAAGCCACAATTCGTCCCATCCATGTTTTAGGGACTGTATCACCATAGCCTATGGTTGTAACAGTTATCTATAAGAAAAGAAATATAATATGCTTGTCTTTTTTTGTATAGAACAGATTCATGTTTACTTTATGTAGAAAGAGAATTAGGTATAATGAGAGGAGTCTTTATTTACACAACCTTGAGTTAGCATCATTTGCTAACTCATTCATATTGAACTTTTTTTTATGGTTTTGTTAAGCTATCAGGATATAAGAATGGAGCTATTTATTTAGATCTAAGGCGATAAAGGTATTAAACTTACCACCCCCCACCAAAGGGCATCAGCATAACTTGTAAAATCTGTTGACCCATCTGCCGAGACGGCATCTTTTTCTGCTAAATATACAAAGTAGGAAGAAAATATAAGCCCAAGGAAACCTATATATAACGTTGTTATTAACTCCTGAAATAAAAAATAAAACCATTATTATTGACGTGTACAAGTATAATGGAAAGGTCTGAATCGTTGAATTATTAAAGCTGTTTAGTCAATTATTAGAAGCTATTGTATTATTGATAGTATATCTCTAAATTTAGTGTCCAAACAATATAAAGTTATTTTATGTAGTTTTCAAATATATGTAATAGAACAGTACCGGTAATATTTTAGATTATGTGTATGTAGAAACTCTGTGGTTTAAAATGCTAGATAATGACACCCATCATAAAAAGAAACATTCAATGTTATTCACTAATTATTGACCAATCTCCAATCCTGCACAAATGTGCAAAAATAATGACAATCTTGTGTCAGGATGCGTCTGATGCATCATATAATGTATAACCCAGAATGTATATAAAGGAGGCGAGATTAGGTTAGAACTATCAAGTTGCATATGTACCGGTATATAGTATTCCATATATGCTTAAAAACACTGGAAGAGGGAAGATAAGTGAATATTTCTCACAACCCCTTACTAGTAGAGATTTCTTTTCGTAAATGCACAGTTAGATGTCTAGAATACAACTAAAGCATAAGTTGCTGCTCAGACTCACCTTTAAATCCACTGGCAATGTAACATGGAATATTACATCACAAGATTATTATCTGTATTGTCATCTATTGTTGATTATTATGGTTGAACTATTGTCTCATTAAAATCTATTTCTAGAGACATCCTACACATGAAACATATATGCATAGTTGATATGATAAAGAGAACTTACCTGTCTATGTATATATACTACGGAACCTAATAACCTCCATGTTCCACCCTGTCTGTCTACATGTAACATACGTAAAATCTGTAGAAATCGAACACCCCTAAAATAAAATAGTTTCCTTGTGTGAATTAACATATAAACAACTGTTGTACACTAACACAATAAACTCGCACTTGTCGCAAACCATCCAGCAATCAAATTAGGACAATCATTGAGGACAAATTATGTTGATAGAATTAAACCACATAAATTGAAGAAAAAATCAATATTTTCTTGGAAAGGCAAGAACAATAATTAATATGAGAGCCACCCTTACCCTGGTATGTTTTGGAACCATGGGCATTAAGTCTATAAATAAATGCTGATTTTCAATAGGGTTCATCCTTATGATGAGACAATTTTAAATTACTTATCCCTTCTCGAAAACTCAGTAAAGAATCGTAGAATTAAGCTTATTTTTTTTTATTTCGAAGAAATAGGTCTGTCTGTCGGTCAGACTTTTTGGAACACAATGACTCTGCTTCTAATTTTGGTAGAGTGTTGAAACTTGGTGTAGGTGAATTTAATTATAAATGAAATGAAATGGGATTTAACGTCCTACTATTCTGCTCCTAACATGGGCTAATGAAGACAGGCATACGCCATACAGTGTACTATGAGGGAAATTTTGCCTGGGCAGCGGCGCTATGGCCTACTCTTATATCGAATTCCAACTGCCAAGGGATCTTTTACGTGCACGCCAATATGTACACGGCACCTCGTTTTTTCATTCCATCCGAACGACTAGACAGCTGTCCTTGTCAGGCCCTCCGTTCTGTATCATTGACAAGGGGAAACCACTCCGGAAAATCTGGATGAACTTTCTCGGCCAATGCAGGGATCGAACACCAACATCCAGGCTAGCGAGCCAGCGTCTTACCCACTTAGCCACGTGATCCCCGAATTTAATTATAAGCATCTACGGCTAAGACTTAGCAAAAATAAGCAATTTGATTGGTTTAGACTTTGTAATTCAATAACTTTGATTCTAATAGGGTGAGAGTGATAAAACTTGGTGTGTAGTTTCATTACATTAATACCTTGACTAAGTTCGATGATTGCTTGATACTTTACAAAACGATAAATGTGCATGTAATTAATGAGTGTCATCTATATATTTTGGGATTGAGTTGAGGGACATCAGCCTCTCTGTTGGCTTATTTTGGATTTCATCCAAAGGATAAGATGATTTAACTTTGACAATTCCTCTTTTTCGTGGCAAGGGAATAATAACTCTGTAAACAATTACTAGTTCATCATTCAAGTTTTAAAAAAATCTTTGATAATTTCTCTTTTAACACATTTACAAGGTAAGTTTCTCTACGCTTGTTGGTTCTAACCCTAACCTGGGAAAATTATAAGTCTAACAGTTTTATATGTCTTATTTGGCAAGGGGACAGACAACACTATTACACAAAAAAAACCATCTGTAATTCTTCCGATATAATCATATACTGAGCGCCATGGAAAACGCATCACTTGGTTTTTCATATAACAAAATGATCCTGTAAACATATCTTATTTATTTTGCTTCTTATTGTGAACAATATTCAAATGGGAACACATCAATAACAACACATTTGTACACTTATGGATGTTTAATCTGTAATCAACGGTACAAAGTCAGAGGGGTCAAAACCAAAAGTACGACACAGATGTCAGTAGCGTGTGTGTCCTCCACAGGCTCTTACGCACGCTGTGCAGCGACGTCGCATGGAATTTACCAATGTTTGAAAGAAGGTCTGGGGCAAATTGTTCCATTCTTGGACAAGAGCAGCTTCTAAAGTAGCAATGGTGTGCATCTGTGGTCTCCGATACAGACGGCATCCAATCTCATCCCAGACATGTTCTATCGGTGCCATGTCTCCGGACATGGCTGGCCAGTCCAAGACATTGATGTTGTTAGCAGCCAGGTAGTCCATACTAAAATGGGCGGTATGCGGACGTGAATTATCCTGCTGGAAGTGCTTAAGTTGTGGGTGCGCTCGAAACATCGGAACAACAATTGGTTGCAAGACATCATCACGGTAGGCTACAGTATTAACGCGACCCCTGCAAATGTGTAGGGCGGTCCGGTGATGAAATGTGAAGCCTCCCCACACCATTACACTTCCCCCACCCCATCGATTAGTTTTGAAGACGCAGCAGTCTGCAAGACGTTCCCCAAGACGTCTATGCACACGTTGACGGCCATCAGCGTGATAAAGATCAAAGTGACTCTCATCACTGAAGAGCACACTTTGCCAGTCTACTCTTCTCCATGTCTGGTGTCCTTGAGCCCATATCAAACGCCGCTGACGGTGATTATCCCTGAGGATGTTGATCCAGTAACTCGAACACGTTCCACCAACCTTACAATAGTGGACTGATGACAATTGAAGTGTCTGGCAATAGCACGTGTAGACATGCCAGCCCTGGACATTCCCATGGCTTCATTCCGTTGATTTTCAGTAAGTCTCGGCATCTCTAGCTCGATTCCTTCACACGTCCAACAACAAATTACGACAGATTGACGTTTCACAGTTCATGTACAGCACATTAAGTTAATAACATGCTTTTAAAGGGCTCACACTCAATGCTGCACGTGAATATTGGGTTTTTCATGTGCATCTCGTGCAATTTTTTTTTTTTTGCACACGGGCCAATATTTTTTGCGTTTGGGAGCATTGTGTGAAACAATAGTTCATAGTATTGCATAATATTATACATACAAAACCACCTAGTAATAAAATGATGCGTTTTCCATGGAGCTCAGTATATTTAAACTGCTCCAAGCATTGGCCTTCTGAGAGCAAAGAGCAAATCATTTTTATGAGTATCTGCTATAGCTTGTTAAAACCACTAGAGGCTGTAATATATACCACTCTCATGTAATGAATCCTAAAACATCTGTATCTCAGCAAGGCATTGACAGGTCTGTCAGAGACTAGAAATTTTGCATGCAATCTAATTTTGACCCCACCCCCAAAGATTTCTAAGCAGCAAAGATTTCTTATAGCTGTATAAATTGTATGATAAATAAGGTAGTTAATATGACTATTTACCTGATGGCTGAGGTGGCAAACACTTGACCATTAGAACCAACAGATAAAACTACTATACTTGCAACAACAACTAAAAAATCTGTATAAAAAATGTTAGCTTATTATTTACCATATTCTCTTTGATTACACTTTCAATTCACCTGTGTTCAAAATAAAAGTATCTAAACCAAATAACAACAAATGTTTTGCTAAACATCTGTCAATGTGATGGACAAATGGACTTTTTTTAATGCCATATTGTCATGCGGGAAGGAGCATAGTCTAGTTCTTGGTATTGATCCTTCCCAAGCAAATGCTGTCTTTCTGATTTGACTGCCCCACCCCCTTACAAGAATCCTGGATAAAAATCCTTCAATTAACAACATAACATATTGGGTTGATGGTTTGTAATAAAGAATTATATTATCTTGATAATGGCTTAAACATGAGAAAAAAAAAATGTCTACCCTATTGTAATAGGAACAATGTTTACATTTTTAGGTTAGAAGCCTATTTCCTATTATTAGTTAGTTTGGTTATAACATGGGAAGTTATTATCAATTGACCTTTTCAAAAAGGAGCTTAGGAAATTTTGTATGGCATGTTCTGATTTGAAATAAATTTCCAGTGACTCAATGGTTTAGATAAACTGGAACTTTTCCTTTCATTTCCTTGATTAATAGTAGACAGGCTATCAAGGGAGATGAAAACTCAAACAAATTAACTTCTCAAATTTGTTTAGGTCAATAGATTTTAGGTTTCAAAATGTCATTGCTCTCAGCTCTAAGGTCAAAGATCCGACATGAGCAAGATATTAACTAAAGATATTTCTAATCAGAGATCAAGACTCACCAATTATTGAAATTGGCTTCCGAGCGAATCGGAATCTACCTCTAAGGCCCATATACTTGCTGCGACATCCAGCTGACCAAAGCCGGATAACATACTCCAAGCCAAAGAAAACTACCAGCACTATTTCCTGCAAAATAATCAAGAAAATACTTGAACGTTAAAGGAAATAACAGCAGGACTTCACTTGTTTCATTGATGGGTATAATTAACAATTGATAATGTGTGTGGTATTTTTATACGCCCACATTTTCACGTGGACGTATATTGTCATCGCCCCTGTCCGTTCACATTTTTATATGCCCAGATGTTCATGTGGACGTATATTATCATCACTCCTGTCCGTCCATCCGAATTTCGTTTGTAGACACTGTACAGGTCACAATTTTTATTCAATTTTGATAAAACTTAAAATGTATGTTTATAACCCTCATATCTCGGTTCCTTTGGATACTCGCACATATAGGACCTTAACTTCCTGGATTATGTCCCCTGATTGTACGCAAAATCGCATTTTTAGCTTGTGGACCCTTTAGAGGTCATAATATTTATCTGATTTTAAAAGCCGTTTAAAAATATCACCGTTACACCACAATGATATTTGAATTTCGTGAAAATGGTCGCTCCCCTTAAGCAAATAAAGTAAAAGCATGTAATACCAAAGTTGTGGACACTCTATATCACAATTTTTATCCGAACTGTCAGTTCATCACTTTGTTGGTCCAGCGTCAACAATTTCTTATCTACAAATTCTGACTATTATCTGATCTGAGATGAACATATGTCACGAACTTCTGATAAAACATTCATGATTATTGCCCTTGATCACTTTTTTATACACCCACATTTTCATGTGGATGTATTATGTTCATGAAACTTATATGTGCATATCCCAAAGATTTCAGTTCCTTTCGATATTGGCATGACCGTAAAGTCATGGATTATGACCAATGATTTTTAAAAAAAAATCTTGATTTTAGCTTGTGGATCCTCTAGAGGTCACAATATTTATCTGATTTTAATGAAACTTAAAATATGTTTATATCCCAAAAGATCTCATTTCCTTTCGATACTGGTGTATATCGGACATTAACTTCCTGGATTACGACCCATGATTGTACGCAAAATCATGGATTATGGCACCTGATTGTACAAAAAATCATATCTTGTGGACATTATAATCAACTAAACAATGTATATTTTGATCATTCTTCATTGTCCCCAATTTGGGCTAGTTTCCTAAAACTATTCAATAGTCTTGACAAATAAGGACCCTTTTTTTTAAAACTGAACCTTTGTCAGCATATGTATGACAGATTAAATTATAATGTTAAATTATGAATAAGTTTTTAACTGATTTTTGTCCCCCACCTTTCGAAGAACACGGGGGACTATTAAAATGGGTTCGTCTGTCTGTCTGTTCGTCCGTCCTTCTGTCCTTAACACTTTTTGGGACACAATAACTCTTCTTCTAATTGAGCTAGAATGTTCAAACTTGGTGCAGGTGTTTATTAGGTCAATGCCTTGATGGACTTCGCAGATGAGCATTTTCTGCTTAGGGTAAGCAGAGATAAGCAATTTGATTGGTTGATGCTTTGGGACACGATAACTTTAGTTCTAATTAAGTGAGAGTGACCAAACTTGGTGTATAGTTTCATTATATCATTACCTTGACTAAGTTGGATGATGGGAATTTTCTGCTTAGGCTAGGAGTGATAAACAGTTTGATTGGTCAAGACTTTGGAACAAAACAACTCTGCTTTTAATAGAAGTAGAATTTTTAAACTTTTATGAAGATGTTTATTAGGTGAATGTCTTGACTGAGTTCAATGATTAACATTTCTCACTAATTAAGCTAAGCAGGACTAAGTAATTTCTTTGACTTTGATTCTATCTGATAGAGAGTGATGAAACTTACTGTATAGTTGATAATCCGTTTGATTGCATGATACTTTTGAAAATGATCAATGTGCAATTAATTGATATGTGTCATCTATTTATTTTGTGATTTGGACGGGGGACATTAGCCCCACTGTTGGCTTGTTTTTTAAAGTTTGATTTATTGGGACATTAAGAAGATGAGCCCTATTGATTTCCCTGCTCTCTGTCCATCTCTTACAAAATGTTGGCATTTCTTTCACGGCAACCGCATGTATGATCTTGGGAATGCCAAAATTTATCATCAGATCAGAAATTTATATATACATTAGTGAAACAAAGAAGCTAGAGCATGCACAAAATTATTCACACTGTTCAGTCGGCTTTGTCTCGTGACAACACCTACTAATATATTAACAAACACAAGAAAAAATCTTACCATCCAAAATAAAGTTTCATTTGCAAAATCTGTATATTGATCTATTGTTGACAGAACACTGAATATAAGACAAATTAGCACCATCATAAAGCTAAAAAAAAAAAAAAAATAGAAATACATGTAAGAATTAATGTGATGTATTATTAGCTAACAAAAACCTGATGTTATTATTTTGTACTCATGTTAATGTGTTTACTGGTATATGCTGAAACACAGTAAAATTACACTACTTATATAGATTAATTCAAGAGAATATGAGTACCAGCGCCAATGGATGCAGCATTGCAACAAGAGTGAGCAGGCCCCACAAGCAACCATTAAGTGGTTTATCTCATCCATGTGGCAACCTTATATGACACGTGTCAGCTAGAGGTGGAGACATGTTACTGACTTGGAGTTTTACCCTTGACAGTTGGAATTTGATGAAGAGTTGGCAGAAAGGCTACTTTCTGGGCCAAATTTCCCACATGACAGACTCTATGGTGTATGCCCATCTTCATCAGCCTAGTTGGTGGAAAAAAGTAGAATGTTAAACTCCATTTTATTTATTGATTTTCCTGTGACGGTAAATGCCCAGCCTATAAACAAGCGAAAATCAACTGCATTAAGTCTCACCATAACTTCCTGTCAAATCAGTTTTACTCTTTCATTGCGTGTCAGTATATATTGCCACTCTCATCTGTTTGTTTGCTTTTTTCTTGTACAGGTTTTTCGAATGACATTTTTAAACTTGGGCTAATCTTAAACTCATATTTTGAGATTTGATATTTAATTTTAGTGTTCAACTAGTCCCGAGGATGAAGACTATAATTGTAATTCAGTGTTGTATATAAATTATTGCCACTGATACACAGATGTTTTGCCATGACATAAACAACAAATATATAACAAAATATTTTGTTCTGATGCAGTAAAGAACTATTTAGCAACTAACCCAACATACACCCACAAAACATTTCCTTCACTTTAAAGATATATTATTTGTATGACACTCACAATCCTAAATACCAAATGTATTGATTGCAAAACAAACTGCTGTATCAGTAATATTACCTAAAATATTTAGGGGATATTTTTGGGATGACCTACGGAGTTGAATGTAGCAACCATAGTGTATTAACAGAAAGTCAATTTTAAGTCTGAATTGGTAGCCTGCTGTGCTAGTCATCAGCTGTGTTCCAGTGGGAATGCATTTGGCAAAACAGGGGGCTCTAATTTAGCCCAACATGAGTATTGTAGGGGGTCAGGGAATATAATTATTGGAAGTAGTATAATGTGTATTTTTATATAATTATTGTGATTCTTATGTGTATTTTTAATTACAATGTTTTCTAGTCATTTATTTGTTGTCAGTAATAAATGATATTTTACACCTGATCAAGTGTTGAGTTCGGTTATTGGGTTACGGACACAAATAGATTTGTAAAATTACTGACATATGCACTGACTGCAATGCATCACCATAATATATATTTATTTGAATTGACATAGGTATTAGATTATAGTGTAGGAGAAACATAGCTAAATTTTGGATATTTATTACATAAAGCTTTAGGTCAAATAATGTATTAACAACATACAGGGTAGGTTGATTTGATGTGTTATTGTTTTATTCATGATGAGTTAACTGGCAGCTCTGTCCGATTATATTTTTATTTTTAATGATAAGTGGAAGTTGGCTTGTTTACTAATTTTAGTTTCCTTTTTGGCGTACTGTATCCACAATGGATCACAAAATTGGTTATATCGCAACAGTAGTTTTATTTAAAGAGATAATGTTTTCAGTGGATGCAGATAATCATTCTATAAAACAAATCACAACATAAATACACTGAAGTTGACAGTTTTATTTTTGACTCCATTCACAGAAATCTTGTGATTTTAACTGGTTCTAACTACATGTATATATTAAATGTCATTTAAATTGGTGGATATTTTGAAAGTACTCTATCCTTTCTCTTTAAGAACCACCTGGGAATTAAATTTGTGTTTTCAGATCAACTATTTTACATAAACCATTTGCTTTAATCTAATATGCACAGACATTGAATGTGCATTTGTTAATTGTAATTGGAAAAGAAATCTGCACATAAAATATTAATATTGACTTTTTATAACTTTTTTTCTCACTGATCTTTAATTTTGTTCCTTCTGAATAAGAAACAATTTATAGTCACAAGTAATTCAGTTTAAAAGTCTCTCAACGTGATGCTTTGAAGCAAGTATTTGATTTTTTTTTCCTTTTAACATCAAATATTTTTGTGCCTTTTTCTAAGTTTAATTCCAATATTGATAAAATTGAGATTTGATGAGCTGAGTTGATGTGATGATATTTGTGACTTTGAACAATCTATCTGTTAGAACCAGAGCTTTACGCATTGTTTTAAATGGTATCTTTCTAAAATCTCTTAACTTGTACAGTGGTGATAGATTTTTATGTGGGTGTATATTTGTCTTACCCCTGTCTGTTGGTCAGTCAATGCACAGACATTTTAAAATTGTTCTTTCAAACTTGTTGCATGTTTGGCTAGTCATAAGGAGGAATTCTATTAAAACTAAATATTGTTTATCAAGTTTTTCAAACTTGCTTATTGATTTAATGCCCCTGTCACCAAAACCCTAATAAATAGTGTAAAGGTCAACATTTTTGAGGTTTGTTTTTCATACTTGCTTGGATTGATTGGTTCGACATCGGGAAGATCTGTATTCAAAATCAGAATTGGGCATCAGTTTTATGCCATGTTATTGCCCTGAATAAAGTAATCTGAGTGAGTACGTGACTGAGTTCAACATTTTAAAGTTAATTCTTTTGTCTAATTAAAATCAAGTGTGATAAGACTTTGGTTTTTGTGGAAGAAAAGTAAGATAAAAACAAGACAGAGCAGTTTGAATTTTAAATTAGTATTACTGCTTCAATTACATAGAATTATAGACTTGTAAATAAGCTAGATTTATTGTTAATTAATATTTATCACCTAGACTACATCTAATCTACCAATCTATTATTTCAAGATAAATTTAACTATTGTCAGTCTTCTCCAAAACCATTGTTGCATTAGTGCAAATAGCACAATGGCTATAGTGTGTAGTATGTGATCCGTAAAACATTAAGCCTGTCTGATGTCTCCTTTAAACACACACAATTACTGTCTATATAAAACCAGATGTACTCAATCATATAACATTAAATTATTGGCTTTATGTCCTTGTAAAGCTGCTAAGGTTAGGAGCATTTTGTTGAAGTTTTTCTCAGTTAATCAGCTGGACTGTGTTTAGTTAATCTTCCTCTGTGTCTGCGATATCACACTCAGTGGAAGCAGACATTATGCCGCAGGAACATCTGTGTCCATCATGCTAATAAAGGCTATTATGGTAATCACTTTGGACTTGATGATGACATCATCTTGTTTTAATATGATGATGAGGTTTATTGAATTGCTTGACCTCTGTATAGACACCAAATTCATAGTTTTGGTATGCCCATGTCAAAAGTTATCACAGTTTGTATAGTGCCATGGCTTTTTGGTGGTCATCTTGGATTTCACAAAGACTTCATTGCTTGACTCCTAAAACCTAGGTATAGACACCAAAATTATTAGTCAATTATATGGAATGGTGGCCATGCTTAGGTGCTATCTTGAATTTCAGAGTGGCCACCCAAGTCTTTTTTACTCCCACTTAAGTATCCCCAACACGATTCATTAGCTCAGTCAGTTGTAAATTTTGGTGTTAATGTATCCGTTTGTGCCGAATATTTCATAAAATGGCATGTTTACATTGTATCATTTCCAATGTGGTTTTATGTCAAATTACATGTAGTTAAATTAAATGCCTGAAAATATGTCAATAATTATATTTACATAGCAGCCGTGACCAAGACAATGCTAATAAACCTGTAAAATGTAATTATTGTGCTATTAGAAATATGGTTTATAAGGAGCTAAATCGCTAACATTTGGGACCTAGAAATTGACAAAAGTAGGTCACAACACATATATACTGTAGTATGAATGTATATAAACTGATTTACATTCAATGGTTTCCGTTTTTACTCCAAGTTCAAATCAGTTATGTTCGGCGAAATAAGCCAGCAGTCTCAAGCGAGTGCAAATTTCTAGCGTCTGGTTATTCCAGTCTACATACGCTGTTTGATTTGGTGCAATGTGTCTAGCCTTGTCCCTCGAGTCTCTTGATACAACTGAGGCTGAAGCGCATTATGGTACACGATTCGTGTACCAATGGTAAAATGTTTATTTTGTCTTAAATACTGGATATCAAAAGCCTATCTTTTCCCCGGTAAGATCACAACATGAATGCTGATTTAAATTGACAAATAATTCGTGTTTTCAATGTTGAAGATTTTGGATGATATTGAGTTAGAGACTTAGCTACTTTAAAGAACCATATTGTGACAAATGGATCTGCCATTTCTTCGACTTTTATTTAAAATGGTTAATACTTTGTTAAATACCTGGAATGGTCATCCCATTGTATTCTGTCTTGTGAGAACTAAGTTCATAGCTTTTCTCCCTTGAAAAATTGTGGTTTGTTGACATTTTGGTACTGAAAACAGCCATGTTTGGCCTAGTTGTCTGGAAGAGCCTAAACGGACATGGGGTAGTGCTGGGTTGGCTTTGAGTTGTTTCTCTCTACTTGGATTTGTAGGTGGTTGTTTCGGTCCAGTATAATATAGCTCTTTTGAAAGCATTATTTTTGGATCCCAGACCAAGGTTGTTCGTCCTACTGACTTGAATATTTAATTTCCCTCCATCCAAGGGTTGTAACTTTTTGATATCAATATAAGCTACATACAAATTTTAACCTGCTTTTGTGCTGACAGGGCATACTAAAAAATAACCTGGTTCACAATATCCATTGGTTATGGCAGTTTGCGTAGTTATTCAGTGGCTTCTCATTTGCCTTTAGAACTATTGAAAATTTTAAACTGGAGCTAAGACTGACATGGTGATCAACTAATTTTCTATGTAGCGTAATTCCTAATGAAACCTTCAACAAAAATACTATTACTATTATATTATTGAGACATTTATTAAATCAATAACACGGCATGTGTGTCTGCTATCGAAATTA